ACCTAAGTACTCATTAAACTAATTCTGTTTATATAGGGAATAAATGTGATAGGTATTTTAAGGAGACATTTTAGTTTAAATCCAATCAGGCAAATGGAAATTCGCTAAGTCTGCAGGTTTGCTGCGGCGGGGGTATTTAACTATGAAGATGTCTTTGTTCATTGGGCTTCTAACTAATCCGGCTATAGAATCAACTGATCTTAATCAGTATCAGTAACAAAGCTTCCATCTCATATGAACACTCATCACTCATCAAGAAACGCACCCCTGGTGTGACAGCGTCGTATTAATCTTATCTGACAATCATAAATTAATCGCCAAAATAAATTAAAATTGACGTTTTCTTAGACCCACTTATTACTACCATTGCTATTGCTTGTAGGGAATGTCTCCGTCCACCTAATTAAAAGTTAGTCATTTTCTAAGTGAGAAAATCCCTCATTTTGACTGGGACGGGTGGCGTCGTCCTGTAATCCAGCTACTAGGAGGTCACGGATTGTGGATATTTATAGGTATGCACTGTGGATGGGATACTCCCTGGTGTGGATTAACGTCCGCACTAGTGAGTATTACGACTATCCGCAGTGCTATCCTGATAATTAGACCAATTCGTATATACCAAGGAAAAAATGTGGTTCGGATTCCACTATAAACTGTAGGTCCCTTAGTTGCCATTAGCTGTTTGGGCTATTAATTAACAGCTGTGTCTAAGGAATGTCGGCCTTAGTCACTAACAAGACTACAAGATCGCGCCACTCATCCTACACTCATCTCCATTCATACTTGGCTTAAAATACCTACATTGTATGGTCGCCATTTCATAAGAAAGTATTAAGTCGTGCATGCCTTAGGAGCTCATGTTACTCAAGTACTGCAGTGCTAAAAAGTTTAATTACAAAGGGAAGCGGTCAATAAGGTAGTCCCTATATTTTTAAAATTTCTAAGAAGAATTGTTTTGATTGACATATATTTTTTAACATAAATAAGATAATGTAACACAAGTCATAAAGCTACGGGGAAAGAGAGAAAATTAAGAATCGGGAAAGAGGGGCCATTCGGACCAAAGATATCTTAACTAGAATAGAAAATTGATTCAATCACATGTGGCTAAAAGTTAATGTTTTTATAAAGACGTTTTGAAATAAACTGCGCAGTTTGGACGAACAAAACTGAGGTTATAGTTGCAAGTTTGGCATCATCCTGGTTATTAATGTCACGAGTTCATTCCACGCTCACTACAATAGGTGATCAAATCAATACAACAAGGAAATCACGCAAACAAATTACTCAGTTTTAAGTAACAAATTTATAACAGTCTGATAATTAATTGTGGCTGTCCACAACTGAGGTGATTTCATTTGCGAAACAATCTATTTATCAATAGGCAAGCATGATTCTTTAAATCATTTTTCTCAGCTCGTGTGCATCGCGGGGAAAATCTACGCATACTGTTGGAAATATATTTTCCTGTAGATATGCAGAACCCCTTCATAAATTAAAATGGGCTAAAAAATAAGCACAACAATTAAACTTAAAATTTCAAAAAAATTAACATGGCCTGGCTAAAACATTATGGGTTGCCATGCTGGAGACAAAATAACAACGCAATATAAACAGAAAATCAAAACAAATGGACGATTTTTCAATCACATGTTTTATTTAAAGCGTAAGGAGAAAATTTAGAAGTCTATACATTACATATTTGTGGTCAAGTTTTCGACCATTGAACGACCTCTAGTCTATATATTAATAGGCAAGCATGTTTCTTAAAAACATTTTATCTCAGCTTGTGTGCATCGCAGAGAAAATATTATGCATACTGTTGGAAAGCTATTTTCCTGTAGGTTTGCAGAATCCCTTTATAAATTAAAATAAGCTCAAAAATAAACAAAAATGAATTTAATTTTTTTTAAAATTAATATGGGACTTGTGGGTTGCCATGCTAATGACGAAATATAAACAGAAAATCAAAACAAATGGAATAAATTCTAATCACATGTGTTATTTACAGCATGGGGTAAAAATAGAAAAGTCTGTACTTAAGATATTTTTGGTCGAGTTTTCAACCACTGGACGACCTCTAGTATCAAATAAATGTGCATGTTACGTTTTCTACGAGACAATAAAAATAGGACAATCTGTATTGTAATTGATTGTTTATTTCTCCCCATAGTTAAGCTAAAAATAAATCAAACCCCCTTTAACCACTCAAGTTTATCCATCCATTCACAGTTGATCCGTCGCAGCTTTAGTTTTTTTTTAGAATTAGAAATCTAGGTGAATATAACAAAAAAATCCAAATAAAAACCTATCCAGTTCGGCAGCCTTTATTTTTTAAGTGTCGAAAGTGAGCATTTGACGGGACTTTCGGCCGCATAATTAGTGGCACAAGAGGAGATTCAGGAACCAGTTTTCGCGCCAGCTAGGTTGACCACCTGTGCGTGACGTTGTGTGTGTGTGTGTGTGTGTGTGTGCGTGCGTGCGCGTGAGTGTGTCGGTGTGCCAGATCGTATACCGTCCGACTGACCCTTGATCCTGGTCAGGTCGCCGTTTAACAGGTCACATTTCGATTCTTGAGAACCAGTTTGAACCGTTTCCCGGAGACCGTTTCAGTTTAGAAATTGTGTCCTTTTTGATCCTGTGCTTTATGGCAGTTTCTCAGGATGGTTCTACTCAAGTTTTCAGTTAGGCAGTGTTTTTGTTTTTACATCGATATAGATGGTAATAACTTGTCATCACAAATAAAAATATACTTTTGTCTGTACATCGGATAATACATCGTCTAATAATCTAAAGGTCACCGGTTCGATCCTAAGAAAAGTGTGTAACTTTAAAACCATCAGATTATGATGAAATGTTGTACACGTTTACTTTTATTCTAACAGTTTGCGAACTGACATGACCAGACTATGGGATTGGGGTTTTATGGGGTTAAAATAGGTTTTTCTAATTTTGACCCTCAAGATTATGAAATTATAATCATGGATAGATATAATTATGGATTATAGAATTTCCCAATTTCTTTCTTCACCATTTTGTAGAATTAAAGAAATCAAATATAATCTTGCATTCTGAAGTGATTTTGTACAAATATATTGGTTGTGGCAAAAAACTCTAAAATTGTAAATTTAAAATTCTATTGTTATTCTTATATGGAGTATAAGTCAATTGTTGTAGTTTGCATGTTTATGGGTACAATTAGATAAAATTTGGAAAATTTAAGACTTATTTTATACCAAGATATCATTTTAGTAAAAAACGCACTTTATCACCCTCCCGGTAGCAACATACCTAACTCTTTAGTTATCTAAATTAAGTTAACTAAATCTTTAGTTAGTTTAGTACTCTTTAAACCTAATACTATTTAAATAAGGAATCAATCTTACATGTTTATGGAACTTATTAAAAATACAATCAGGCAAATGGAAATTCGTTTATTCAGCAGGTTTGCTGCGGCAGGAGTATTTATTTACTTCCTCTCCCTGTATATACCCTGGAGATATGTAGTATTGTTTTTGTCAAAACTTTTTAGTTTGAGATTTGGGTGGAAATAATATATTTATATTACCCAAAGGGGAACTCGAGTCCCGCTAAACCCAAACAACTGGTTATTGAAGTGATTGGATGCGTACAGAGCGACAGACGTCACCTGTGGTCTGATTTTGATGACATTTGGTATGTTTTTACTAATCCATGATCACCAAGAGTTGTTTTCATTTTTTTGTAATCCAGATTTTTTATGGGATTTTCCAACAAAAAATATGAAACAACAGAAAAGTCTTACTTTTACAAAAACCTCTCTCTGATTAAAACGGTACAATTGCAATTTTGCGGTTTCTCCCTAAAACCCCATAGATACCCCCTTCAGTCACCCAGAATAGGTAATTGTTTTAAATTTTGTGCTCATAAAATATTAATGGCAAGTTAATGGGTTAGGGTACAGTAGACTCCCTTTTATCCGGACCTACCTACACTGTTTAACCGGACTACCCTCAGTGGAAATGACATCTTTGTAACCGGACAATTTTTATCAGCACATCGGTTCAACCGGACTAGACCAGCAGGAAGTGGGTGGTACTGAAACGACTGTTCTCTTGGGAATGATTTGAGAACGAGACCAGTGATCACGTGTCTAAATACAAAGCTCCCCTAAATTTAAGTCAAATACTGTACACAGTATGCAGGTATGTTTTAACGAGTTTTTGGGGACGTCGGTTTAACCGGAAAAACTGTTATCCAGACTGGCCTCGGTCCCGAGGAGTCCGGATAAGAAGGAGTCTACTGTACTGTATGTCAGTTTGCTGATTCTGTTCATATTTGAAGTAATATGGCATAAGAAAGCCAGAGCAAGTCTTATCTCAACTTAAGCTCAACTAAGTTGCCTAAGTCTGTAGGTTTGTGTGTTAATCTGCATTTATGCTACTCATGATGGCAATTTACCCCAGGAAAACTTAAGCACCAATCAAGATTAAACTATTTTTCTTACTTTACTACATTTTAAAGAATAGACATATCTTTAAATTGCTCTCGCTTATTTGTAACATAATGAACTTCAAAAACCCAGTTTTGTGCAATATTGGATATATATTCTATAGGCCTACACTTTTACTACATAAACGATTATCAAGTACCAATTTTGTGATAAAAATGTTTAGAACATAGTATCAGATGTAAGCAATGTTCAAATGCTCAAGATTCATAGGTCTCCATCATCAGCGCTTAAACCTTTGTCTCAATTATTAGCGCTTAATACTCTGATTGACTCAATTATTAGCACTTAAACCCTTGATTGCATGATGAGTGCACTGCACAAATTACTCTTTGACTCAAGTCGAACACAGCTTGACCACACAGGACAACCCAGAAGACGAGCTTACAGCTTTTGAGAATGATTGTGGAAAGTAATGTGGGCTTACTAACAACCATTAGAGATGAGTCTCTAACTATCTTTTTATTTTGTCCTGTCAAATGGGAAAAGGAAAATCAATAACCTTAGCCAGTGATTTTACACACTATTTACTAATAACAGAAATTTACACATTTGAAAAAAAGTTCACTTTTTCCCTTTTTTAGTTTTTTTTAACAACTGAACATATCTTGTACTATCAAAACTTCCCAAATCTTCTTCTTGGATTTTAACTTTAGTTTTGGGTTTCCTTCTTTCCATCCTCTGTTTTGCTTCTGCCTCACTCAGTGTGTTAAGGTCCAATGGTAGCTGTGAAGAAATGTATTAAATTAATTGACATCAACATAAATTGGCTCATACCATTGACTATTAATTGGATAGTGAAGTTCTTAATAGTCAAAGCTCACACCAAAGGAAACAAGTTATTCTTGATTTTCTCTGACCCGTAGAACCATTTCCCGCAGTTTGGCTGTTTACTTACACCCTGTACGGTATATAATTTTTAATGTTTTTGGGACACCCTATATATAATTTTTATCATTACCTATCATTATCAGAGATGGGGCCTAGCATATTTTAACCCAAATATGAGTGTAGAATAGAGTGAGATGGGGTCGCCGGAATTTTATCCCCTGGGCAAAGCTGACGTCACTATGACATAGTAACCTGAACGCTCAAAAGTTTGTTCGCGGGCGGAATTTTACCCCCGCAGATTTGGAAGTCTAATGAAAATAGACAGAGCGTGATTAATTAGATTAGCAATAAAAACCAGAATTTTACCCCCTGTCCATATATCTAGCGTTTAGACAACTGAAGATGTATGGGCCGGATTTTTACCCCTGGAATTTTACCCCCTGGCCGGATATAAGAATGATTGATTTTCCAATTTCTGTTTTTATTTAATTGTAAACATTTTATTACTAAGCCTTTTTTTGTAATTTCTTCTAAGTAAAGAGAATTTGCTGTTTAATTTTGATTGATGTTTGGGATTTGCGTTTGGGGCCAACTGTTGGTTAATAAGTATGTAACTGAGTACCGTAGCTTATTTAAATGATAATTGGGTGAAAATTTTTTTGTAAAGAAACAATAAGGCATATTTTGTTATTGTTGCAATAAAAACAAAAAACATTGTTTATCACGGTTGTATAATAAATCGTTAAAGAAATCTTTGAATCAATTATCATTTTGATGTTTGTTTATACGTCATATTAAACAACAGTTAGCTTCCAAGATCAAATCCTGATACTCGAATCTCAAAATTAAAATTAAAAACCGGTTCGATTAGTTGATGTTACAAATAAATTAAGATAGGCTACCTACTTAATAATAAAATGTTTACTATTAAATTAAAACTGAATGAAAATAATTAACTGTTCTCACTAATTTATATATCTGGCCAGGGGGTAAAATTCCGGGGGTAAAATTCCAGGGGTAAAAATCCAGGCCGTACATTTTGAGCTGACCTCTTGAAGGGGGTAAAAGTCTGGGGGTAAAATTCCAGCCCGTACACTCTAGGTTTTTATAATTTGATGTGTTCTGATTAAATTCACAACTGTGAAAATATACGTTTAATTCCAGGTTTAATCCATCAAACTGATGTCGCGAAACTCAAAAGTTCGTGGTTGGAATTTTACCCCCTGGTTTGTGACGTCATGTTTGCCCAGGAGGTAAAATTCCAGGGGGATAAAAATCCGCTACCCCGTGAGATGATCTGTGTAGCTTTGTAGTAAGATCAGATCATTTCATTCACCATACAGTTATGGTAACAATTGTCAATATTACAAAAATTTAAAGAACCTATCGTACAACATTAATAATTTTATGGTTGGCTATAGAAAGAAGATTCTTGTTGTACCAGACAGCAAATATATAAAAAAATACAATTTTAATTCACAGAAATTGCTTAGTGTTTGGTTAAAAGTATGAGGCCACTTAATATGTTAAAATAACATGAATGGAACAGTTATTACTAGGCCTATCTGTTCTCAAGCCCGTGAGATAACTGTGCCCCTCTTCACCTATATTGTAGGGGAATCTTTCTCTCCCTTGCGCGCCTGGGCCGGGTCCCATGTATAAAAGCGGCCTTGTATGTTCTCCAAACTCTGGTACCAGAACAATATACTCACAGTTATAATTTGACGAGGTTCAGGGTAACGAATAACAATACTTGAACCATCGGGTAGGATCACTGTTGTCGGATACTGCAAGAGATACTTTGATCGATGAATTCTTGTTATTGCGGCTGAAGATGAGTTCAGACATCTTTTAATGACACTGGAAAACATGATTATTCTTCACCTGAAACATATTATTTTCTTTTTTTGTACACAATTTTTTGCTTAACGAAAATTACTGTACCATAACTGATGAGAAACAGATCTACCAATTGGTTTTACTACGGCATTTTCTTTGTAACAGCAAACCTGTACCCTTACTCTAGTAAATTATGTTACCTACCTATTTTAGTAATTTTGGCAAACATTTAAATTGTCTTAACGGAGCCTTCTGGGAACCAGGGGTAACCCAGTCGTACGCACCCCTTACCTCTCTAATCGGGTCACTGGGGAGGTGGACCTAGATACCCGGTATTCGTAAGAACAATGTAGACAATCTGACCCAAAGGGAGGAGGAAGGTCTACTGAAATCTGACGATGACGACAAGCTCCCAGAAACCGGAAAGGAACGAAAAACGACTTTCCAGGGGCGAGTTGCAAAGATGGAGGATAGCGGATGCTTTAGCCAAAGGCGAAAAGGTGCTATCCAGAAGTGAGAGGAGGCTGGTGTAAGATGCCAAGCACCCTAACTCTGCTCCCTGCAAAGCCAGTTCCTCCGGGAACTAGGATGCTGGGAAAAAGCAGGGCAAGGGTGGTACCCCCAAAGCTGACTCTAATGAAGCCTCCAGGAAGAAAGGTGGGGGCTGTGCTGACGCAGCCACAAAAGATTGGCTGGTCAAGCAAGTTCAGGAGCTGAGTCCTTTCAGGGAAATCTCGCTACAGCTTGCCCCAGCCAGAGACCTTGTGAAAGCTGAGAAAGGTATTTATGTGCCCAGCCCTACAAGGTCTGCGTATGAGATCCCTCGTACGAAAAACGACTTTCCAGGGGTGAGTTGCAAAGACGGAGGATAGCGGATGCTTTAGCCAAAGGCAAAAAGGTGCCATCCAGAAGCGGGAGGAGGATGGTGTGGGCTGCCAAGCACCCTAACTCTGCTCCCTGCAAAGCCAGTTCCTCCGGGAACTAGGATGCTGGGAAAAAGCAGGGCAAGGGTGTTACCCCCAAAGCTGACTCTAATGAAGCCTCCAAGAAGAAAGGTGGAGGCTGTGCTGACGCAGCCACAAAGGATATCTGGTCAAGCAAGTTCAGGAGCTGAGTCCTTTCAGGGAAATCTCGCTACGGCTTGCCCCAGCCAGAGACCTTGTGAAAGCTGTGAAGGTATATTTATGTGCCCAGCCCTACAAGGTCTGCGTATGAGATCCCTTGGCCTATTGATGGAAGATCAAAGGGAAGAACAGGTTACCATAGTCAAAAGGCTCTCACAGTTCACCAAGGACCTGGGATTTGACGGAGAATGAGGACCTGTGAACAAGGGTGCACAATAAGCTGTTCTAGCTGCGATGCAATCCTATGGTGACTTGTAAGCCTGGCCCTCTGTTAAAAAAAAAAAGGCTAGTTTTGACTTTTGAATATTTAATTCAAATGTTGGGTCAAGAAATTTCCAAACAGAACATGAAATAAGTTATCGGAAAGGAATAGGCATACAAGTTAAGGGTAGACTTCGGTATCTGTTGGCACAAACAAAAGAATGAAATTATCGATTATTCAATTGTTTCATTCGATGGTTCGATATATCGTTTGGTTAGGTTAACCTTACCTAACTATACCAAACGATTATATCGATATATCAATCGGTATTTTCATTGTGTTGTTTGTGCTAACAGATACTGAAGTCTTTTAAGTAGCCTACCCCAAGTTAAGGAAAAGTTTGCAGTGACATTGCGGTTTGGATGTTAACAACAAAAATTTGCAGTAGGCTAACATTTGGTAATCACAAATTTTATTAACATTCTGGGAAGATCAAATAATGTTACCGATACTTGGTGGGTGGCAAAATATTTGTTAGATACACGGGATTTGTGTTAATTACAAAACATGTTACTGACGCATTTTCTAAAAGTTATCAACAAAATGTTATTAACTCAGGTGTAAATGCGGCTTAAGGTTAGGTCCAAAAGTAGCCTTTAGAATATCTAACCCAAACTAGGCTATCCTAGCCCAACCTAACCTTTAACTTAATATTTTCCTCATGGAAAAAACTGAATAGCCTAACCTACTTTTCAAATTTAGAGTAAAATCACACATTTAAATACCTTTTAATGTGCGTTTTGATTTCCAAATATAATGACAAACAATAAACAATTTCATAAAACAAAAACAATTTTAATTGATTGAACGGTTGAAGGAGAAAGAAAAACAATAACAATAATAACTTAACTAGGCTGCCAAGGTTTTTTCTTCTAATTGCTCCAGGTGTACGCCTGGTTTTATTTCATGAGGCTCCACAGTACATTTTACTTGTCTTGTAGTGGTCTTGTAGCAGCAATAAGTTAACATAATACATATTTTTTCTTGCAGTTAAGCTGTGTTAAATATGAAATGGAGATGATTATGTTTCACAATTAAATAAATTATATTATATACACCGTTTACACAAACTTACGCACGGGCTTTATATGTTCTGTATGATACCTAATAACAAATGAATCAATAAGATTTGGTACATCAACACAGAGAGAACAGAATAACCACGACAAATAAAAATCTACTTTTTAAAGTAACTATCAGTTTTCTGCCTGTTTTATGTCATGGGGACGTCCCGAAAGGAGTTAGAAGGAATTAATTTTAAATGTAAGCATAGATTGATATGCACATCAAATGAATGGTATTTTTGTTGGTAAAATACAATTTTCTATGTTTCCCAATATTAAACTCCGCTTTATACATTCGAATCATGACCTGGTATTTGTATTGTAATAAAAGGTACTGTTTTAGAAAATGGCCAGAGCTTAAAAAGAATATTTATTTCCACGTATATTACGGTTGTTTTTTGTTAGTTTCAAGAGATCTTCTGGAAATGCAATATATTTTCCTTATTTTAACTTTTAATTTTTTGCACTTGATGGAATGCCCGAATAAACTATTTACGATCATATGATTATCAGGTTCTTGAAGATTGTAGATGTGTAAGCTCGATGTACATATCGGCACTGCCACAAGTGTAGCATATTCACTCTTCAGGAGCAGAATGTAATCAAATCACTTAAAAACCCTTTTCTATTTGTTTACATTATCGGTTGTCAGATGATTTATAGCGCGGGCGTGAAAATCCGAAGTGCGCGCAATAACACGCGAGCACGTACGCGAACCGGAGGCGCTGTTGTGCCATGGTCTGTCTGCCACATTAAAAGTAATGCTGAAGATGGGAACGGGAGCTGAAATCTTCGTACTTTGCATCTACTCCATGTGCCTTATTTATTTTATTTATTTACCAACGGCAATTAATGCACCAATTTACAAAGATAACAGTTTAACAGCTAGAACAGTGAATTTTTGTGTTTTATTATTGTATATATATATCTATCTATCTTCTATACTATTATAAAAAAGAGGTGGTTGCTGTATGTGTGTATGTGTGTATGGGAAAAGTAAACTCGAAAAATACTGGTCGGATTGGGCTGAAATTTGGCATGATGATAGCTCACATTCCCGATTAACATATAGGCATATCCTTATTTCAAAAATCCTTTCGGGCTCCGCCCCAGTGGCTCTGGAGTTTCCCATGTTAACCTTATGAGAAATGGAATTATTGAATCTTAACAGCTGTTTCAATTAAACAAGTTGATTCTGTTCTATCTATGATGTTCAATAGCATTAAAGTTACAAGGATTACCAACAGGGTGCAGCACTATTATTTCTTTTACATTTATGACAACAGCGGCTAATTTGCAACCAAAAGGTGATTGAGCGTAGCGAACGAACTTCAACCTGGAGGCGAGTTAGCGTAGCGAACGAGCTAACCTGAAGGCAAGTGAGCGCAGCGAACGAGCTCCAACCTAAAGGTGAGTGAGCGTAGCGAACGAGCTCCAACCTAAAGGCGAGTGAGCGTAGCGAACAAACTTCAACCAGGACGTGATTGAGCCATGCGAACGAGATAATCTTGAAAATTAAGATGTTAAACGGGGCAAAGCCCGCGGGTTACAGCTAGTATATATATATATATTTAAAGAGGTTAGCGGCCTCTTTTAACCTTGCATTTGCCCGTCCACATAGACTACAGATCTGTGCGTGGAACGTATCCAGCAAAGCAAGGGGTGCAGTACAGTAGGGGTGAGCCGGTACAGTACAAAGGTGAACTGTACTGATAAAAGTTTGTGGCAGTGACCAGGATCCGAACCCACGACACTACTGCCTTGGGCCCGAAGTCCGCGACGCTACCAACTGAGCCACCGACTCACCAAATATTATACTAGGAACTAACAATACTGTAATAAACAATGAAAAGAATAACAATAATAGAAATAAAATGAGTAACAATAATAAATAATGAAATGAATAACAATATTAAAAAATTAAATTAACAACAATAATAATGATTTGAGATAACATACAACATGATCGATAACAGCACCAACGTTCCGATAGAGCGTCACGTTCCTCCGCTTAGACTCCTAACAGCCTCCAAATTGGAAGCGAAAAAGTCGACAGACGAACAGGAAACAGATCTCGTTCCCGGAGCGCATCAGACGTGGTACAGTATGGGACAGCGATGAAGCGTATACAGCTGGTCGAAGTCGAAGCATGGTCTAGCTCAAATAAGTGCGCTTAAGGGACCGCTGGGGGTTTTCCTAAAAAAATACCTTCTAACGAAAGTACGAGGCTGATATATTTTTGGAGCAAATAATTTAGATGATGGTGGTTGGATACGGGGGGAATATTTTGTGAAAGCACTCTTACGATATCACCAACATGTGATAATTTAGATGGTTTTATGCAAGAAAGAATAATACCATATATATAATACCAAATCTGCTTAGAGATTGAATAAATAAGTTAGATTTGCAAATAAAGTCAGTATATGATATTGTCACTTCTTTCCCACTGCAGGACTGCACATCCAATAACTTGGAATCCCACAAGGAATATCAAATATCTTTTAAGTGGGGGTCCTATATTTCCCAAAAACAATAATTCTACGATATTACTTACCTTTGTCAATCTTTTGATACAGTTTGTGAATACTTCATTCGGTTTATAAAAAAATGGTAGATGAATGGAGTAGTGTTAAAATGGTTTATTTACCGTATTCACAATAAGAAAAATTTCCTATTTATTTTTTTGTATTTTTAAATACCACCCCAAAAAGAGGTTTCAGGAGTTCAAATATAATATATCACCATATTATGGTGAGATAAAGATCTGCAATGTCATTGACTACAAATCACCTAAGAGTAGATAAGTAGATTTATAATCAATAGCCATTTTTATTATGCAATATACATACACTTGACGTACCCACAAAATTTCTCCTTAGTTTCCTCTACAACTAACTACAAGAGAAGATAGAATACTAAAAGAGAGAAGAAGAAAGTAGTAGAGACGAAGACGAAACGAAACAGACTAAGAGTAAGAGAGAGAGGAGAAGGAGAACAGGAGGAGAGGAGAGGAGGAGACTATCATGGCGATGGCGATCAGAGAATAGTAGAGATTAGTGTTTCCATTGAAAGTTTTTACTTGGTTCAGTTATGTCAATGTCAGAGGATGTGATGTGTTATTAATTTAAATTATTTGCTTGGCTCATCAGTTAAAAAAATATGTGTTCTTCAATATTGGATACGTTAAATATAATGGTAAGTGTGGACATCTATTACAAGTTTGGAATTCCTAAGTGGAAAATATTCACTTAGCCAACCTAACTTATTTTCTAATTTGGAGGGCTAAGTTTATATTATAGCTTTTAGAACATGTTCAGAGTTATTTAAATAATTTGTTATCTTTTAGAACTGTGTAAACTACCCTTACTTGATAATTAATAGGCCTAGGGCCTAGATATAGGTAAGTAGTAACTTAACTTTTGTCCATCCTAAAATTGGAATTGAATGCCCTAAAGATAAGTTAGCAATGGCTATTATAAGTTATTAGGCTCTTAAGAGAGCAGTTGTTTGTTGTCTAAATCATCTCAAAAATGTTTATTTTGCACTTGTCCAGTCAATTCTAAGCTAAGTTACGGGATAATCCTTTGGGGAAATAGTTACCACATCAGTGATGTTCTTGTTGCCCAAAAAGAGATTATCAGAACTATATTCAACAAAGATCAAAATGAACATTGTAAACCATTATTTATTAACTTTAACGCTTTGACTGTGATAAACCTTTAAATTTAGCCTATAATGCATTGTTATCTATTTAAGTTGCATGAAACCTTTGGTCTAAGGGGTGATTTTCATTGCTTTGACACTAGGAAAAGAGGAAACCTTGACATTCCTTTTACAAGACTGGAAAAGATTAAAAGAAGCCATATTATTATGGGTAGAAAGTTGTGGAATAAACTATCGCCAGGAATAATTCAACTCCCTTACAATAGTTTTAAGAATGCAATTTATGAATGGCTTGTCAGAAACCCCCTGTATAAGATTGATGATTTTTATGCTTTACAACCAGTAACATAACCACATATGATTATCTAATTCCAGCCTTGAATCTCTTTTTCAACCTGTCTATATCTGCTTTTGTACCATTATTTATTTGCATGATGTGTAGGGGTATCCTAAGACCTTGTACACTAATTGTTTACTATTATTATTAGTTGACTTGTGCCTCTTCCAGCATGTATTTATATAATTTGACTGTGTCTCATGCATTTATATAATGTCTATAGACGAATAAATATCATTTAATTTCATTGTGTTACCTATAATGTTATAGGTACTGATACTAGGTCCAATATAAATAGGCTATGTCAATGTTAAGGGACCTTGTTCTTGAAATCTTGTTTCCAGTTTTTTCACTAGGCTACTTTTAAGTTACTGGCCTGTGATTCGTCGCAAAGACACTCTGTATTCTGTTAAGATTAACTGTATTTTCTTGTAAAAATGGTGCACCTAAGTTATCCGTTAATAAATAAATAAATTCAATACTTCTGCTAACTTACTCGTCTAATTCTTTCTTATAATCTAGGCTTAATCTTGTTGTTGTTTTTTGGTTACGGTAAATCTCCTTTTCCATGCAGGTAAAGTAACTTAAGTTAAGGCCTTGGCCTATGAGATAGGCTACCTAAGTTAAAAGTGACTTCAGTCACAGAAAACGTACTACTATAACCAAGAATGCCAACCGCATGGTAAAAAGCATTAAGCGGTTTGAGAGAGCTTTGCCTGTCAATCCGTAGGCAGCGCCACCAGCGTTGCCATGCAATAGCATAGCAACGCTGGTGGCGCTGCCTACGGATTGACAGGCAAAGCTCTCTCAAAACACTTAATGCTTTTTACCATGCGGTTGGCATTCTGGGTTATAGTAGTACGTTTTCTATGCTTCACTAGGGGCTATTTCTTTCAACTAGTCAAACTTAAGCATTGGCTAAGTTGTAGCCATAGTATGGATTGCCTAATTTTATTGAATGACTAAGCCAATTGATGTTCTTAATTTTTACAGGTCAAGGTGATTGGTTGACAAATATCTACAAATACTGAAGTTAGCCCAGGTGAAGAAAAAAGTGTAATTTTAAGTTAATGAAGTTTGCAATTGAAGCAAACCAGGACATGGTTGTGTACTATTCTACACTTTTGGATCGTATTAGGTGTACAGAGACATACATAATAGAAACTGAAACGGTGACATAAGTGCAAAGTGTGATGTTGCGTGATAGTGGGTTTCATGAGACGGCCAGTGAGCCTGGTGGGATGGATAATTCGGTAGTGATGTCCCCCATCATTCCTGTTCCTCCAGTCATGGCGGCTGATGTTAGCGGATCCGATAAAGATTCCAGGATTACAGGGTCATCATGCAGAGCACTCCGTAATGCAGTATCTGGTCTCAACCGACTGGACGATTTTGTTTTAGAAAAAATTGGTTCTGGTTTCTTCTCTGAAGTTTTTAAGGTAAGATGTTTCATTTTTGGTTCTCTATGTTTAGTAGACCTAACATCTAGATGATTATATTAACTTAAGCAAGATATGCCTAACTTAAACTCCAGTAGGGAATGTACAACATTGACCTAAACACACTTTCTCTAGTGTCCACAAAATTTGTGTAAGTTTTAATGAAGTTTTTGATGATAACTGGAGGTAAAATGATATCAGGCACACAAAATAACAGAATAACTGAGGCCCAAGTTAACTTAATATATAGTCCCTAAGTTACTATATAAGCTTATGGTCAATAGGAATAGGTGGTCAATAGGAATTTAGGATTATTATTCTTCAAGGAATTATTTTACATTAGGCTATATATTTTCTTCTCTACCAGGTAGATTTTAATTTTTTCTTCAGGCCATTTTGATTTTCATTTTTTAAATTTTGAGGTCAACTAGGGTATTGTAAATTTTGATGCCCCTGTGATAGGGGACTCCTTTTAACCAATGCTGTTCTTATTTGCTGTACATGTAGATCTCTGGCTCGTCTGGTGTTGTAGTTATGAATACTATACGGTACTGCTGTTGGTGAAATATTCTGGTTTGGCTTTAGCAGTAACGGCACATTCAAGAATATAAACTGCTGGTAGGGTTAAAATGCCAAGTTCCTTGAAGATATCTCGACAGGAGTCTCGACCTCTCATTTTACAATTTGTTCTTACTGCTCGTTTTTGTAATAGGCTACCGTACTGTATAAAAATTCTTTGTGCTTCAGTGCTGCCTCCCCATAGTTGGGAGTTACTTATTAGGTATGCCATAGGCAATTACACCGGAATACAACCGAAGCACCAGAAAGCAACCGTTATAAATTTGCATCAGGATCTTTGTCAATAATGTTTTGGAGTCTACAAATAAGATGGCACACAACTATTATTTTGCTATACGGTAGTGTCTGTGACATGGTTTTCCCAGGATAAATTTTCAGATATGGTTATTCCTAGATATTTAGCCTAGCTGACTTTTCTTTTACCTATTTGGTGAGTACCTCCCATTTTTAAAAGTGGTGAGTAGTCCGGTTCTTTCCTAATTGTAAAATTGAATTAGACTGGTTTTTGAACTGTTAAGTGCCATTTTATTAGGCCTATTTGTGCTCCAGTTAACCATCTTATTATTTCCTTCATGAGTTTTCTTAATAACTGGGTCATACAGTCTTTTCCATAGGTAAGTTGTCCCACATCATCTGCGAACATCAATAGTTCCCTGTCTTGGATTTCTTCTGGCAAATCATTAATATAATAAAGAAGGAACAGCTCCGGTCCGAGATTTGATCCTTGCGGGACTCCTGTGTTGATACAGCCGAGACATTTTATTTAAACATCTGTATAACATTCGTCTCACTGGTGTTTCAAATATTCACAATTTAGTAGGCCTATATGTTTTTAAGAAATGACATCCAGTTCAGGGATTTTTCCTACCAATTTTAATTAGCTTGGTCTTAAGTATTTCATGATCCAGGCAACCAAACGCCTTGGTCATGTCATATAAAAGGAGGAGACAGTCCTAAGTTAATGTTTTCATAAATTTTTGTCATTAATTTAAATACCTACTGAGTCTATATAGTTGACCTTTCTTTCCGCAAACCATATTGATTATTCCTAAGTATGAGAACACAGGCCTAACAAAAGTTCCGGGTAGTTCCATTTCAAATCAAAACAGGTAGGCCTACTGTAGGCTATACTTAATTTAACCTGACTATCTCAGATTTTAATTAAATTTACTACCTACAGTAGACTCTTGATAATTCAAAATTTGTGGGCCAAGGTAAATTAATTCGAATTATCGTATCAGGAGTTTTGAACTCTCAAGAGGGTTGATTTATCGCCCGGGCAGGAAAATAAACTAAGTTAGGCCGAAGTCAATAAGTGGAGGTGAAAGTAGTGGGTGTCTTCGCTCTCACAGATCCTCTTCAGTGGAATGCCTCCATTTCAACAACAACCTCCTATCAATTGTTCAAAAGAGTGAAATACGTCTTTTTGCTGACATCTCTCACATCTCTCGCTGTCTGCAGACCAAGCAGACTTGAACTAAGTTAGACATGAGTGCCTTTATAGGCTGCACTTTAGATTACGCCCCACATTTACTCACATACAGTTAGACATAGGTTATGTTAGTTTAGAAAAGTTTCGGGTCATTCCATGTTAAATCAACTAGGCTCTCAACCTGACCATCTTAGATTTTGATGATATTTTGCATACTACAGTGGGCCTAGTAGTATTTTGAGTCCTGTATACAAATATGTAGGCTAAAAAAAAAATCAGTTAGGCCTAATAGGCTATCCATTTTATTGTTTGAACACAATTTTTTAAGTTTTTTTCAATACTCTAAATTCAACGCTGATTCCGAAAATTTAGTTCTTTTTCCGCGGAAAACGACCATAACGCGGAAATACGCCTAATGTGGAAAAATTACCATTACGCGGAAAAACTAACAAAATTACCAAACAAATTTTTTTTTACCAAAACACATCATGTGGGTACGGTACTCAATAGCCTATTAAAGAAATCACGAATATGCAAGAATTCTTTGGATCCGACATCAAATAAGCGATGACAATGTGATACTACCCAGCAATAACCCCAACTCACTAGGGGACAGGTGGGAATTCGGGGTTTTGGGTGGGGGAGACATCTAACGTGTTTTATTATCAGAAAATTAGGCGGGGGAAAGGGTAGTTTAATGTGTTAAAGGGTAATTAACGGGAAATAATAGGTAATTAGTTGGGAGAATTAGTATGGGAAATTTGCTTGGAATTGGGAAAATTGTCAGTACCAACCTATTCATTGGTTGTTGTAGCACTGCCATGTTGCTTGTTACGTTACGATGGTTAGGTTGGTTAGGGTAGGTTAGGTTTGGTTAGGTTAGGTTAGGTTAGGTTAGGTTATGCAGTATCATCCCTCTTGTAGAGAAAGTACGCACGATTTGTTTTTCAGGATTAATTTTGCCAACAGTTTCATTTGGAAGCTTCTGATTGACTACCGTATTGAAGGTTTACTAATTGAAAAATTAGTTCTGTTCATAAAATAAAACTATAGGCTACATGGCTCAAATTCAATTTTATAATGTTTTAATTATAAATTTTAAAGGTCATAACCTAACCAAACCAACCAAACTTGCTGATAATGAAAAAATCCTAGACAAAAGATAGTGCTATCGGAGGGATTCGAACCCGGTCCTCCCGTTTATCAGCTCAGCACTCTAATATTACTCAGTTCAATATACTAATATTTGTTTTTTTAAGCTCTACAAAATGGTTTGGAAACAAATTACAAAATTTTATATTTTTTGGGTCAAAAATGGGAAAACCCCATAAAAACCCCCCATAAACCCCAGTTCCCATAGTCCGATCATGCTGGTTTGCGAACTAGTTTGAATAAATGTACACGTTTATACCAAATTTAAACAAAATCGGATCATTTTTGCTCGAGTTATCGTGCTAACAGAAACATATCCTACTTCCTACTAATATTATAAATGAGAAAGTTTGGATGTATGGATGTATGGATGGATGTATGGATGTATGTTTGTGACAAGTGAACGCGAAAAATACTGGTCGGATTGGGCTGAAATTTGGCATGATGATAGCTCACATTCCCGATTAACATATAGGCATATTCTTATTTCAAAAATCCTTTCGGGCTCCGCCCCAGTGGCTCTGGAGTTTCCCATGTTAACCTTATGAGAAATGGAATTATTGAATCTTAACAGCTGTTTCAATTAGGCTAAACAAGTTGGTTCTGTTCTATGATGTTCAATAGCATTAAAGTTACAAGGATTACCACGTTTTTAAACGCACAAAAAAGTTAGAAAATAATTTATAAATATGTGGAGAGAATTAATACTTGTAAGATTTAAAATTAAAAATGTGGGGTGCATGCAATAGATAATAATAGTTCAATATGTGATGATGATTTTAAATAAGCTAACTTATTGGATGCGCACCACATTTTTTGTTATAAATCTTAAAATATATATTCTATCTACATGTTAATAAATTATTTTGTACTTTTTTGTGCGTTTAAAAACGTGGTGATTTGAAAAAAGTATTTTTATTTATAAATTATTTTTTTTAAGACTTGATTATTATACTTAGGCCTAGAGTACAATTGTTCTTTCTCAAATGGTGTTTAATATAATAACTGAAATATTGGAATTGAGATAGATGTAAGCCTACAGAAATATTTAACTTTATACCTACAGTATTAACTAATACAAACTTAATTATAATATTAATATTTAAGAATAACATAAACAGAATGATGCTAGTGATTTACCCTAAAAAGTGTAATGTCTTGAAAACATTTATAGAGTACCAAACTTTCAATTCGGATTTCAAAAACGTTTGTGAGTAAAATTTATTTCTATAATGAAATCAATAAATTAAATTTGACTACAGCTGTATCAGAATTTGGTTTATGATGTTTGTTTTCTCTCCACAAATCATACTACATTTATCATCTGTGGAAGTTAGTGTGAAACACAGAGTGAAAAAAGCCATCGGACAGGTTTAGTGTAAGGTTGACTGCGTCGGATCACTTTCACACGTTGTATCATATTGTTTGAATGTAACAACTAACAACGGTAGCGTTTGGGGCAGGTGTAAGAGGCATTGCATCCTCAGATAATCTTAATTAGGCCTATTGCTTTCACCTGGTGTGTGTGAACTGCGGCACTTTCCCGTATTATTATAGTTGGTTAAAACAAGAGTGAAAGTAGCAGATTCTAGATGGAGATCAGGCTACGTTACGCTCCCCTCTCATTCATTCTCTCCAATAAATTGTTATGCTTCCTCGCTGCCTGGGCTTTCTCACTGCTTCTTTGCATTTTACCGCACTGTATAGCTATTCCGCTGGTTTCCCTCAATTAGCGCTTGTATGTGTATCAAGTTCTGTTTGAAAAGTTAAATCAATATTCAGAATAATAATACATTTGTTTGAGCAGCATGGGTCTTCTATTAATAATACAAATAATAATAATAATTTGTTTATTGAAGTCAACAAAATAGGCTACATTTTATTACAAACGTCAGCTAGCAAAATATTTGTGAAAAAACAATTCAAGGCAATTTACATTTTGTCAGGTTTTTTATATTATTATTTTTTTTCACCAGTGCCTGAATTTTTTCTGTGGTATTTCCTAAAATTTAGATATACCAGCGGTTGAACAGAATGGCCTACAATGACTGTTTTAGCTAATAGTTAAACACTTTAAAAAACTTTTAACACAAGTAAAAAGTTCCTGGGTTGATTTTTCATACATCATTCAGTTTTTTATGGCTTGCATTGATTCAAAAATGTTATCAACTTTTTATGTCGTAGCATGTCTCTTGTTAGTTCAGTTTTTACATTTACGATAACTGTATTTACCATTTAGGTAGTCTTTTCCACTTAGACCAGTTATTGTCATGCATATGCAATTTTTTGAATTAGGCTATAATTTTTTACTAGATTTGTATGTATGCTATTACCGAACTGCATTAAAAGACCCTTAAAATTAATTCTATCAATTTAAAAATGCCTTTGTCTAAAAGGAGAAAAAACAAAAGTACAAGTTTAGATTATGGTCAGGAAGTAAGGCCTAGGCCTATACTATTCTAAAAATCAATAAAGGCCAATGGATATTCGTAAATTGTATCTCAAACGCAATAATTCTTCCTGTTCGTCCCTCTTAGCGTAAAACTGAGACTAACTGTTTAAAAAATATTTTATAAGCAAATGACTGCATTTACCCGTCACTTTCACAAAATATCCAAAAGCAATAAAAGTTTTAACATGTTTTCTTTTCAATCATAATGACATATTGAACATCCATGTAAATAGGCTATTTTTATTTTTATGTTATGTAATGTGGTGTACTCTTGAATCTGCCTTTGTCAGAAAAAATTTATATGAAATTGACCAACACATTATAGGCTAGATATATTTTAAGAAATTTAGATTTTCCTTTTAATTTAAAGGGAAATCTAAGATTCCACAACATTTAAAAATATAACACCAGATATATTGTATTTCAGACCAACCAACCTATTATACTCTGTTTAAATTATCGATTTCGTCCCTAACTCTGTAAACAACCGGACACAATATATACATACTGAAAATTACTCTTAGGCCTGTTTAGAGAATACAAAAAATATTTAAAAAATAACAAAGAGAAAAACAGTAATAGCTCTAAAATAAGCTAAGCAGCAAGCTGCAGACTAAGCCAATTTCCAATTGCCTGATAAGGTTTTCACTTAAATATATCCTATTTAAATAACATTAGGTTTAATGAGTCCCTAGGTTTGCTGCTACAGGGAGGGTAAAAAGTGTTTTTTTAGTCAAAAGCTTAGTATAAAGTAAATAAATTTGCCAAGTTTGATCAATATAATATATCCATAAAAGAGCAAACTACAACAGTTTACTTATTCTTTATAGGAATAAAATGGAAATTTTAAGTTTAAATATTGTCCTTTTTAATTTTCTGTGTAGCCAATAATTGTACAAAACACTTCAATAGGCTAGCCTAAATTATTTGTTTTCTTAGCCCTACAAAATGGTTTTGGAGAGAAATTGAGAAAAGTTATGTTTTTAGTCTCAATAATAAGAAAACCAATGTTGATATTGATTGATGATTACTTTTTATTGACTAACCCCATATTAGGACGAAAGTACAGCGAACTAAAATAAAAACCGGTTATGCAATGATTCCTCACAACTCACAAGTTAAATGGTTTATGGTTGTTCCAGGTTACACATAGAGTTACGGGTAAAGTTATGGTTCTGAAGATGAATCAACTCCGTTCAAACAGACATAACATGCTCAAAGAAGTTCAGCTGATGAAACAGCTGGATCACAAAAACATTTTAGGGTGAGTATTTCAACATTTTTAATACTTTGCATGACTTTTAAATCTTTAACACCGTTTATGTCTCACAGACATGGTTGGGTAATCAGAATATTATTTGTAAAATGTAATTATAGAATCAGTGTGCACATCAACTTAGGCATGCATAGCAAAGTTAAAAGCAACATGCACTTCAAAAATCTTGTTACTTATAAACTGTGGCCGTTTAAATTATTTTAAATTAAAGTTCAACACAATATAAAGAGGTTTAGGCTTAGGGGGTTGTTTAATTTGCACTTTTAATGGTAGGATGTAGAATAGACAATACAATTTTTTCTGGGCATGGAATGGATATGAAATTATAAGTTAGGTCATTAGAATAGTATTTTTCTCAAATGTTATTTTATTTTTATTGTTTGTGTGGTAAACAAAATTCTTACACTAGACTAATCCAGATTTTCTATCTAAATCAAAATTCCTTTCTTAAACGCGTCTGAGTACAAACTGTTTTACAAAAAAAATTTAAAAAAACGAAGAGAGACTACAACCAAACATAAAAATAATTTTAATGATCACATTATATGGACAACAAATTAGTGTTGAAGAATATTTTTAATTAGAAAGGTGTAATTTATCTTCAATAACAGTAACATTGTTTGAACGGTTGACAAACGAGGATCGATGGATCCTAAGGCCTGTGGTGATCTTGACCTGGTTTGCCATATGGTCACCAGTATATGAATCACCTGGCGACCCTGTCTGTACCATCTGTACTACAGCCTTGCCTGGACAGAGGGCTTATTTGCATCAAATTATTGTTTCCTACAATTTAACCTCTTTCTAAATCTGCTTTGAGTGGAAAATAATACAACAGTTAGTCAAATATCATAAATCATAAATCTTGATTAGTCAGATGCTAGTATATTTTATCCTGGGTAAATAATGTTTTACCGTTCCAATATTATTAAATGTTTGTTTTCTACATTTTAACCTCTTCCTAAATCGGGGTTTATTGGCTAGTAATTTAACTGTTAGTCAAAATTGACTAGTTAAGTTGGACTTTAGTAGTCATAATTTTAGCTTGGGGTAAAGATTGATTTGCTGTTCCAAAATTATTATAATAATTATTGTAATAACCTCTTTCTAAATGGGTTTTTAATGGCAACCAAAATAACCAGTTAGTGCTTTCCACAGTAAAATCTCTTCCAAAATGAAGTTTTATTGGCAAATCATACCATTAGTTAGGAAATTTCTTGATAAGCTGGATGATAGTGGTAATATTTTATTTTGTTTTACTGTTAAAATATTATTAAAGGATTATTTTTTACAATTTAACCTCTTATAAGTTGAGTTTTATTAATGGGTTCGTAACATCTGGCAACTAATTTAACCTATACAAAATCATAGTATCAGTATTACCAATTTAATCATGAGTTAGGATTGTTTTACTGTTCCAATAACAGTAACCGTTCCAATAACGATTGTTTTCCACAATTGAACCTACTAGACCTAGATCTAATTAATATCTAAATTAGCTTTTATTGGTAAACAAAAAGACTGTTAGTCGAAATTGTTTTGGTATTTCGGATGTTAGTGTTCACATCGGCGTCCATCTTACTTTTCCATTTAAGGGCTGGGAGACTGGAGGGTACAGGATAGTAAAAAAAGGTGTTCGGAGGTCCTCTCCTGGCAAATGTTGAAAATGAATGTACAAAACTGTTGTTTTTTACAAATTTAGTTACTAAATTTGCTTTGTGTAGACCCTATTGTAAATTTGTTGTTTTTTGCATAGTTTAAAAAATTTGTTTAAAACAATTTTAATCTAGGGCCTTATGTTGCCCATCGTGAACCATGGACCCCCATTTGTGTTCCTAATTTTTTTTTAGGGTTAAGAATGTTTTACTGTTCCAATATTATTAATTTTTTTTCTTGCTGTTTACACTTTTTGCAAATTGGCTTTTACTGGCAACCAATATTACTGTTAGTCAAAATCGTCTTGATTAGTAAGATGTTAGCATTCCCACTCTTATCTTGGGTAGTATTCCCACTTTTATCTTGGGTAGTATTCCCACTTTTATCTTGGGTAAAGATTGTTTTACTGTTCCAATATTGATTGTTTTTCACAATTTACCCTTTTTCTAAATTAGCTTTTATTGGTAAACAATAGGACTGATAGACGAAATCGTCTTTGTAATTCCTATGTTAGTATTATCACTTTTATCTTGCGCAAAGATTGTTTTACTGTTCTAATATTAACATAGTTGACTTTGGGTTTTGCAATCCGCTGTATTTCCCATGCTGTGTTTTATGGCACTGTTTTTACTGGATAAATGGTTTTAAATACCGGTACCTAAAAAAATAGCCTATCTACAAAAAATAAATTTTTACATTGCTGTTAGCAATTTATCAAGTTGTAGTTGAACCTCAATAACAAGATCACTAGTGGGGATTAAATTAGACTCATTGTCAAAGTTTTTACTGTCAAGGATCTAAATATCGTGGGGAATTTATAAAATGTTTTAGTGATCTCATCTTGTATGTAGTTGTGTGCAAACATGTAGGATACATATAATGATCTTGCTTGGATGATTTCCTTACGGTTTATTACGTAACTGGTATTTTCCCTAAACTGAAACTGTAATAACTAGTTTATCCTTTCAAATATTTGGTATTAAACTTATTCCTATTTTACTGTAGCCTAGTTTAAACTGAAACTATTTTCCAAATTTTATCAATTTAGGTGTTGCTGGTACCATACTATAAGCTTGACATACCTTATTTTCCAAAGTTGAAAGAATTGTAATTAAAAAAAAAAAGATTTAACTGTTTTTAAGTTCTATACCCCTAGAGGAATTGTTGGAAAATACTTTTGTAAATAATGAAGTAATTAATGTGTCCACAATGTTTATTATGTTTGTTTATTCAGATTTATTTTATATTCATAATGCACAACATCAAAACTCAATAGTTACTCTGTTAATCCTTGTTAATTAATTCTGAAACTTAGCTCCCATGGTGGAGAAAGCCAAATGTCTTTAGTGGTCTATGAGAAATCTTCACTATGCAAGAATGTAATGTTTTATGATGTCAATTTTGCAGGTTTATGGGGGTTTGTGTTCATGCAGGCCAGCTTCATGCACTTACGGAAGTAAGTATCATTGCGGTGTTGTTAATAATGGCTAAGCTACAAGTATTTTAGAGGGGAAACCTAGTGAAGCTATTACAAAAACATTGAAAATAAAACAGTGGACAGACAAACTTTATTAATACAGACGTTGCTTAATTTGCACAAACATTTCATAGTAGATAAGGTATATTTCATACAGCATTTCATTTCATTTCATTTCAAAAATGAAAAGCAAAGTAATGAATGCACTAGGGATAACTACGTACTGTAGTTTTGTTGCATGTTTTACAGTGCTTTAGTAGTTTCCTGTTTTAAAACTATACAACTTGGACTGTTAATTAACCTGAGTAATTCTTAATAGAACATGTCAAAGTCACTTCCTGAAACCAAATCAGGTTAAAAAATACTGTAATATTTCTAAGGATTACATACTTTTAATTAATTAGTTAATTGTAAATAAACAACTGATTGTTCATTCAGTAACTAGTGGTAAACAAAAAAATATTTTACTTTTGCGTTGTGTCTTTCAATTGATACTTCAAATGTATTCTTTGCACGCAATTTTTTATTTCCACCAGTTGTTTCAGCATTGTGTGCCCAATTATGTAAGTTAATTGGCTACTGTACTGTCTATGCTAACTATGCAGTATTAGTTATTATAGACAACCTAATAATACTAAACATGTTTTCAATGTTTTTTTCAGTAACTTATTTAAACTGCAGCATTTTTTCTAGAGATTTGAATAGGCCTAGTAAAATAATTTTAGTTAAGAGTATATTTTATTTTTATAAAAGACTAAGTTTTCCCAAATAAAATGGTTTTGTAGTCATGAGTTTTGATCTGTAATGTTATCTTCATTTTGTGTTTGGGATCAAACATTCAAAATATATATTTTTTTACATTATCATTTAACTTACAACTTTTCTATTATTTTTATGTAATTTTTAAGGAATAGTTATGAAAGGGTTTTAACCTTCAAAAGTATATAAATAATAAAATATATCTTCCAACACTTTTTGGTATATGTAAACTCATACCAGTGACTAGTCAAAAGGTAAACACAATACGGCATGAACAAAATTTCAATAAAATACAAAAACATTTAACAATAAAAAAAGACCTGTTCTAACAAAAGTTGACCGATCGCACAGGTAGCAACAGGGACAGACTCAGTTTTAGGTAAAACATCAGGCCAATCAGAGACTCCTTGCTTGAATGTCATTGATTGCTAGTAAACGTTCTAACAGTATAAGTTTAGGTATATCAAAAAGTTTGGAAGATGTATTTTATTTTTATCATGTCAGCATAATAGTTTCAAAACGTAAATTACCAATACAAAATTAATTCCTCTTTTTCTCTTGAAGACATCAACTGGTAGTTTTTAGGATAGAGGATATGTAGCTTTGACAACATCTTTTGTATCAAACAAGCAACTCAGAGATAACATCACTGGTTTATAAACATTAGTGGTAAACAGTCCAGGGACAGATCATTCTCAAGGTCAATGATAACTATGTCCATGTGAAGAGTCAGATGACAGTTTCATTTCCTTATACAGTGGCATTGACTTCTCTCAGAATTAGGAAAAAAATATGTCTTATGTTTTTTTTTATAATTATTGGAAAATGATTGTAGTTAGCCTAGTGTAAATTACCGCCAGACAAAAACCAGCCAGTTCTTAACATTTATGAACTATCCTGCAAATACCAAAAGGTTGATGCTTTTTTATTAATATTCAAATTTTGTCAAGCTGCCAACTCTTTCAGTTTGGAGCTTCTATGCAGTGTTTTCTTAATTTTATATGCATTTGAATGTGAATGTTCAAATCAATTTTGTAGTATCGCTTGGTTAGATTATTTGGGTATATGTGAAGCTAGTTTAGGTAACCATCAGAAGCGACAAAACACTCAAATTTTCAGTTTTGTTTGGTTTATTGTGTAAGGAAAATCTCTGTAAGGATAACATAGATGTAATGTCTGCATTAATACTCCACTAACTTGCTATCTGATTGGCATCAGATAAATGCTACACAGTAAATTGTTTCCTTTTTTTAGATTTCTTAAAAACTGAACAAATTTTATTTAAAGTAATTAAGTATAACAATTATTTTGGGGGTTAACCCATTCTCTCCTCAAACATTTCCTTACATAGTCAGATTGGGCTGGTTTACGATTTTATTTGTTTTTGGCTTATGGAAAATGATAAATAACCAAGTTTCCAATCTCAGATACCAACCACTCTAAAGACTGACATTTTTTCCACAGAGAAATTTTATAACATGAAAATACCGATTATTCATAATACTACACATACTAGTGCTCACCACCAAACCAATACTCAGGCATAATGTTTAATTTTTTAAATTTCTTTTTATATTCAAATAATCAGTACATTTTGAAGTTCTGTTGGATTTGATTCTTTATGTTTTGTTTTAGTTTATCAATGGAGGAAGCCTAGAACAGCTGATCCAAGCAAGGAACGTTGAGTTGACATTCATTGTGAGGATGCAGCTGGCTTTGGACATAGCCCGGGGAATGGAGTACCTTCATTCTCGCGACGTCTTCCATAGAGACCTTACATCCAAGGTAGGGTTGAAAAGATAAACGGTATTAGTTTAGAGGAAGAGATTGTTTAATAATGTAATGTACTTCTTTGTTGTGTTTCATTTCCTGTAGTCTGCTAATTTTAGAATGTACTAATTTTATATTATAATTATATGTAGCCCTGACATCCAGACAGTACCATATAAACAGGAACTAAAATAACTCTGCATGAGATAAAAGATTTGATTTTATGTTGATTTCAAAACATTACATGGTCTTTTTAATGTAATTATGTTTACTAAGTGTCATAATTGTTTGGTTATTTATTTTTTAAATAGAAGTATCTACCAGGTAAAACAAATCTTCTTTGGCTCCAATATACTTGATCGATCTTGGATTATTTGAAACTTCATCTTTAAGATTATGCACGGTAATAATAAAATCTCCTGTTTATGCATTAAGGAAATTATTATGGACATATTTTTTTAGTAGATGAAAAACATATATTGTTTTTAATGAAATAATATTTCTATTATTTGTAATAATATAACTTGTCATATATTTTTACATAAATTTCAGAAAAGAAACACTTATACCTGTTAAGGAGTGTTTCATAATTTTAAATAAGGGGGTTTCCCCTAATCATTCATAACTATTTGAGTTTTAATAAGGTTAATGAATAAGGAAAAGAAATTCTCCGCTACCAACCATTCTAATGCATCTTATGACATTAGTGAACATTTCACTATTTCAGTCATGAGTATTTATTGCCATTGATCTGTTTGTTGCATAAATAAGCAGTCAGTACTTGTTGCATGCAATTATATTAAAATTAACTCAGTTTACAATACTAAAAAGTACAAATTGTTCTTTATTTAACAATGTCTTGTTCCTCATACATATGATTCCTTGTTGTAGAATGTACTGGTCAAGAAGGATGAAACAACAGGTGAAATGATGGCTGTGGTCGGGGACTTTGGGCTGGCTGCTAAAATTCCACGGTATTAAATTGTCTTTAACAAACTAGTTTTGTCATTTACAAAACAATTTATTCTCGTTTTCCTGACTCTCATGGGATGCATTTGGGCTGGATTAATAAAATGTTGAATTACTGGAAATAGTAGTATTTAACCTATAAGTTTGGAAAAGTAAACTTTAAAAACTGTATTATGTGCTCCTCGATTATTGGGTCTTTAAATTCATCAGTTGAGGCATTATTTTACAAAAGAACAATGTTTATCTAAGACAAACAAAACTATTGTATTTAAGTAGCTATTTTAAATTTCAAGAACAGATGTTTATCGTAGGCCAGAATGTATTTTAAGTGGTATGCATATTTTCAAATTCAGTTAGGCCTACCTGTATCGTTTAAATGCTAAAAACTCGGATTCTTAAGTTGAATTGACAAAAATCAAAGCAGAGTAACATACTTATTCTACATAAAAATAACTAATTTTCACTGCAGAGAAAGTGGATTCAAACTGGACATCGCCACCAGAAAGTTGCTATCGAACCACAAATCAAACTCTAGTATTATACGGATACCAGCAATTGACTCAAATTAAACCAAATGGTTAAATTGCCATGATATTAACACAAAACATTCTTTAAATGATCGTAAACGCTATACAAAATCTAATGTAAATTTATGCACTGACTTCTCTGGATCAAACCTGCAACTTGTGATTATTAGGTTAGGATTTGCCATCCAGCTATTAAGAACCTATAACCATGTTGCAGGTCGGGGTACAGACTGCCGACTGTTGGCTCCCCGTATTGGATGTCACCGGAGTGCCTCAAAGGTCAGTGGTATGACGAGAGCTCAGATGTGTTCAGCTACGGCATCATTCTGTGCGAGATCATCGCTAGAATCGAAGCCGACCCTGACTTCCTGCCTCGAACGGAAAACTTCGGTCTTGACTACCTCGCGTTTATCGAGCTTTGTACAGACCCTCCTCCTACACCACCGGACTTCCTCAAACTAGCCTTCAGCTGTTGCAAAGTGAGTAGATCTAAAGTAATTCTATATTAGTCACTTTCTACGTTGTATTTCAGGCATTTTTCTTAATTGAAAGATATTAAATATTTTGCAAGGAATTTTTTTGAGAAATAGAGTTTGTCTTAGAGCATGCATACCTGAGAAGATTACAATTTAGAGGTTGAAATATCAGTATTGTTTGATTACCAGCTTACCAAACAATTAGCAACTGTTAATATTCAATTCAATTTATTTATTTAATACAAACACAATGACAAAGGGCATTTTAACTAGAGGTGTGCGGATAATGAAATTTCATTTCGGATCGGATAGTTGAGGCTCGGTTCGGATCGGATCGGATATTGGGAGGTTCGGATTCGGATATTTTCAGATTCGGATAGTTCGGCGCGGTTAATAATAAGCTGCATATGTATTTTTAACCTATAAAACAATGTAAAGCTGTGTAAATAAACTTAAATGACGATTTTGAACTATAGAATTTCAAATTAGCCAAGTCCACAGTTTTCTCTCTCTTTAAAATCACAATTCACAACATTTATTTTCAAAAGTTGGTTGCTTGAATTAAGTACACTAGCAGCCGAAATCTTAACACAACACCTTAGCTCAGCAGGACTGATGTCAAACGTTTGGGCTTGTTTACTTGAGGTTATGTTTTATCTTGTTTCCTGGTTCTCACAAGACAAGGAGTTCGATCTCAAGTTTATTTTCACATTGTTTTCATATTGTTCCTAACGTTTTTGGAACGGATTATTGGCCTTAAGTGGCATTTTGCGGGTTTGCCAAGTTTAGAAAACATCACTAATGCACTAAGATGGGCTCTAGCTCACGATTTGATGTTGGGCAATTAGGCTTTATAACTCTGTAAAAGGTGTGTATCCCTGAATTTACGAATTGCATTCTACACTTATTCACTGCCAAACATAATTCAGTAGAACCTTGATGAACCGAGAATTACACTAGCCTACATAACTTCATTACCCCAAGTAAAATACCAAGATCATTTTTATAATTGTATTTGAATCGTATAATATTAGTTTGTTAAACATGGATTGTATGTTCAATAATAATTGCAGTCCATTATTGTTAAGCAGTATGGTCCCAAATTATTGTTTTTGATTTTGAAACATCACAGTTCATTTGACAAAATTATAGTTGAAGCAGCCCAATGTCACGCTTGTGCAATAGTTTGTTTACAAGCTTTCTACAGACCACTGGGGAGGGTCGGGTCTGATAAGCCGTCTATTGTTCACCCCCAAGAAGGTCCAACCCTCATTAGTGCCGCTCGGCTGCACTCAGTGGGGAACCCAATACCACAAATCAATCTTTTAAATGAGTAAAAATATTTGGTAATAATGGTTTTATTAATATTCACCTTGAAATTTCAATAAATTTGGTGTAAAATTTGACAAAAATCTGCCATTTTGACCGATTATTAATACAGTACCAAATACCAATAAAGTAGTACATTCATTGGTAATTAAATAATAGGTAAAAATTCATCAAGTTTTACCCCCTGCTGTGCGCTATATGTCACAAAAGCTGATAACGACATAGGTGATTAGTAACCATGGCAACTTGTTAAATGCGTGATGAAGGGAAACCCAAGAAATAGAAGAACAAAGAGAAAGAATAACGATGTTGTTATCTTTATACCCTTTTTACAATTTCTGTTATTGTTATCTTTACTTTATGTAAGATTTTATGATTTTGTTTTATAGGTTTATAAAATAATTCTTTTTAACTACGGGAATATCAATTTATAATTTATCAACGTGCTTCTCTTCTGAAACAGCAATACCGGATGCATAATAAAGGGCAATGACCTAAAATATTACGATTGTGCAATATTGTATTTTGATGTTGAAATTAAAATCACGACAAAAGTTTTGTATATATCCATGGTCCCTATCGTTTAATCATTTAATATGTATACAATCAATGCTAAATAATCGTGGTTAGTTCTAACTTTATTTTTTATTATTCAAAGTTTCTACACAGTAAGACAATCCAAAGTCAAACCGGGCAATGAATACCCAAAAAACAACGTATCTTGTCCTGTGATTGGAATACCACTCGCCGGCCAGTCCTTTAGGTTTAGGGAAGTAGTGCAAGTCTATATAGCTTCAAGGTCTTACCCACCCCTTCCCCCTCCGGTCCTACTTGACTCACTACCCGCGCTCCTTTCGAGGTCATTGCCCAACCCCTCCCACCCTTCCATTATGTTGCCTTTCTATTGTTTCTATTCTGACTTTTTTTCGGGAAACATTAAATCTATTGTTTACGTAACATCACAGTAGTAGGCTAGATTTTTCTACTTTGAAACAGTACTGTAAAAAAAAAACTATTACGCAGCGCCCCTAGTATCAGGAGCGAGACAAGCACGAGTTGACTTTCATTTGACCATGGTAGTTCTTTTCTGCTTCATGTCTCTTCGTTCCAGACGAATCTAATCATAAAGCAAAACAGCTGATAACGACTAAAATAGTTATCGGTATTGCATCATACGGCTTCTTTGCCGTTTGCTGTTAGGTCGTTGGAAACGTATTGCTGTAATTTTGTCCTGGGAAACTAATGGTGGTTATTATGGAGATTTAGTTTTCTGTCCAAATCGTCAAAATATATTGTCTATCCAAAAAAGTCAGATATATAACGGATAGTGTCGGATATCAAATTTGGGCTCGGTTCAGTTACGGATATCCGAACCGAACCGATTTTTCGGATATCCGCACACCTCTAATTTTAACACTAAGCTACATAAGCCTAAAAGTCTTGTCCGTAGCATTTCTTGATTTTACTTAAGTGTCTTTTTAATGTATCACGTTGAGTCGGCCATTTATTAGTTTTCCCTTTCTTAGCAGTAACAAACTTGAACCAACAAACAAATATTGACAAAAAAGTCAATATTTTTTTCTTATGTAGAAAACAGAACTAATTATGTATAAGGGATACCTATTAAATAGGTGTTAAACAGTTGAGGTTGGTATACTCACATTATTTGTACATTGCTACATTATCAAACATGTTTTAGTATGATTTTTATCAAATTTTTATTTTCTGCATTATCTGACCTTAGGTTTTTCCGACCTTCCCAAGAAAGGATTATGTCAGTAATTATGCCTGTAATGAAAAACATACAAATCAATACAGCATTTTCTTTGATCTCTTCCAGTTTGAGCCGAAGAACCGGCCGACATTCACGCAGGTAGTGGCTCTGCTTCAACCCATGATAGAGGAGGCCAGTGCCTCCGCCAGGCCCCGTCCCCCCACCACTAGCATAGCAGCTCGTAGTGAGGAGTTCCTTCCTGGCGCAACCCTCCCTCCCACCGCTACTACTAGCCGCAAGTGTAAGTGTCATGGGTAACTTGGACATAATGTTGGTCATCCCCGTTGTGCTCACAGCCTAGTGGATCCAGTTTCCTAGATTTCCAACCTTCTTTAGTGTTAAAAGTTGATAATCTGGAAAGCAACACATAATTTCCATTTTTTATTTTTATGTCCAATTTAATGGATAACTCTAATAATACTTTATGACAACACTAAATGATATTCTGCTTGTATTGCTGCAAACTGTTATAGTCTGTATCTGAAACTTATAAGTTGAAAATTACCTCACTAGAGCTATTAAAATCTCTTTAATCACTGGATACACTATACACCACATAAAAGTGAAAGTAATGGATGTTTTAAAAAATGTAATTAATTTGTTATCGAAAAAAAGAATTGTGCCAGTTCACATTCCTACTACTGGATATTGAAGGTTTAAATAATCAAATAAACTGTTACCTGTTCAATATGAAGAATCAAAGGATAATGAACCGGCGACACTTTATTTAATTATTTAAGAGTTGTGTATTAGGTACTTACATGTTAATATACGTTAAATTTAAGTATTGAAACCAATATTTTATTTTCCATTTTCAACAATATGTCGCCTTTCTATTTTTTATGATAGTTTTTACTGAAAATCTTGATATTTGTTTCAGTGATTCACCGCAGGTCATTATCGGAAGATGTTGGTATGATAGTGTTTCCGCCGCACACAGCTCCCAGTGACAAGGCCAGGTGTCACTTTGTCACAGCTCGTCCGATGTTGAAACATGTCGGAGAGACGATGGCCAAGAACGACCCTCACTACAAGCCTTTCCCCTCCAAAGCCAACCCGTTTGCAACTCTCAGCCAATTCAAGGGTGTGAAAAAAATCCTCGCATCAACCAACTCAACCGACTTGTTTTCATCATGTTTTGAACTGCCCTCTCCCTCGCCCTTCCGAACCAAGCCGTTTGAGTTATCAGCAGGAAACAAACTAGAACCCAAAGCCCCTTTTGAAAGGGGGAAAATCTTCGAGGAAGAAGGTATACACGCGTTGAGGAGAGATTCTCAAGACCAGTCTTCCGTTTTAGTCGAACCCGTTGTTAAACCTTCACAAATAAAATCAAAGAAAAAGTTTGAAACGAGCGAAAAATCAAAAGAATTGAGTCCTTTTTCCCAAAGTTCCTTGGATGAGGATGTTTCGACTGTGAAGACTGCGGTTTTAGGTTGTGTAAATAAAGTGGAATCGAGGTGCTGTGCAGTTTTAAAAAGTAAACCGCGATCTCTACCTTCATCTCCTACGTTCACTAGAAGAAACACGGGGTCAGTTGTTACCTCTGAACTTATTGCTCGACTAAATGTGAGAAGAAATCAGGTGTTATCAAAATGTTCGGGGGAAGAAGAGGCATTACACAGAGTAGTCTGTGAAGCTGCTAGGAAGCGAGCATCCCTCTACAACCACCCTCTGTTCAAAGCACCCTCGAACACTCGTCCTTCAGATAGTAAAACATCCCCTACATCGCTGCAACACCCTTTAAGGTATTTATCAAATAGTTTTTTTAGCCTTTTTGTTTTTTACTTCAAATTTAGAAGGTACACCCCAGGGCCTATTTAACGAAATGTGGGTACTGTGAGTGGTAGTTTGAAACAAATTAGTTAAGTATATTGATAGTCAGATCCGGATATCGGACTACCGGATAGAAGACTATCTATGTCCATATACAAGACTAACTGTGTCTCTGTACACAAGACTAAAAATTTACAGAGATACCCTTTTGGTGGTTGTGCAAACTTAGGAGCAAGTTTCATTTCAAGATTTTGAAAATTTTAGGGTCCACCAAAAATGAGGGATATTGCCTAGCCGTATAATTTATAGACGTCGACATATTCTGTGACATTCCCTAGCTATATCTTATCTATTCTTTAAGCTATTCTATATCTTATTACATCAACCTTTAAACATTACTAATTTAATTTAAGACAGTATGATTTAAATTGGATTTCCGTAAATATTACATTTTTTTTTACCCTTATGACAGTACACATCTGGATCCAAATTTTTCAAGATCCGGATCCGGTACCGACATTTTATTGGATCCGCCCATCACTAGTTAAGTATTATATCATGAACATGCATTAATGATCTAAAAACTAATCAAAATAGAATCACTAGAAAAAAATCAAAACTTTCAAATATTTCATTTAAATAATGTCAAACTTGAGTTTTACTCATAAAAACAAATTAAGTCAATAAATCTAGACTCTAGGCAAACATTAAAATCATTTTTGACAAAAATTGCAAATATCAGTAGATTACCTAGATATTTTAATTAGTACTATAGCCTACATAATTTTATTCATCTGAAAATATAAATTAATAGTACACCGTTCAAAAGATTTAGGTATATTTAGGGGAAGTTTTTTCCCCCCACCTCTTTTTTTCCTTAATGTATGTTATAGCTGATTGACGGTTTGAGCTTATTTACAGCTGTCCAGCTGTTGTTTTAAGGGCATGGTAAGGTGGAGGGGATGGAATTGCTTCCCCTACAACCGCCAAATTGTGTGAACCGAGTATGTATATGGCTGGTTTTGTGAGCACCAAACATATGTCCTGCAAATGCAAAATCTGTCATAGATTGCTTACAGTTATATGATAATTCTTTCTTTGGTCAGATGGTTGAAGCCAACCAAGAGCTGTAGTTACTGTATAAAACAGGGTGTAACCTATATCGACTGGTAAAATCGGGACAAACCTTGAGTTTGAAGAGACCTGGAAATAACTGGTATTTTTGGCACCATTCCGGGAATCTTTCCGGACATTTGCCGCTATCCTGGATGACTATGATAACGTTTCTGTGACCGCTGGAGACGACGATAATGTTTCCGTGACTGCGGGAGACGACCATAATGTTTTCGTGACCGCGGGAGACAATGATAACTTTTCCAGGACCGTGGGAGTCGTCCAGGATTTTGACCCAATCACGGAAGGCGTTTCTGTGACCGTGAGAGATGACAATAACGTTCGGTGACCACGAGAGACGACCTCAACGTTTCCGCTATCCAAGGAGAAGATAACATTTCCACGACCGCGGGAGATGACAATAACGTTTCCGTTACCACTGGAGACGACGATAATGTTTCCGGTACCGCGGAAGACAACGATAACGTTTTTGTGACCGCTGGAGACTACAATAATGTTTCCATGACTGTGGGAAGTGACGATATCGTTTCCGTGACCGCGGGAGACAACAATAACGTTTTCGTGACTGAGGAAGTACAGGATTTTGACGCGATCACAGAAGACTATGATGTTTTTAGTTTTACCGTGACCATGGGAATGTCCAGGATTTTGCAGGGAACGTGGAAGACTATGATGACGTTCCCCCGACCGTGGGAGACGACGATAACTTTTTCGTGATCCCGGGAGACGTTCAGGATTTTGACTCGATCACAGAAGACTGTGATGACGTTTCCGTGACAGTGAAATATGTCCAGGAGTTTGCCGTGATTGCGGAAGAATAAAAAACTACTAACTTGTTATAACTATTTTTCTTTATTTAAATTACATAATCATACCATGTTTCAGAGACTTGAAAATGTCCTATCGAAAATCCTCCTGCCAAAATACCTTCATTCTACCCTCTGCCAAAGAAGTATCTGTCTCCAACTCTTCAGCTATTTTTTAAAACCTTCAAAAAATTGTTCTACCATTATCATATCAATTTTTTAATACATTTGTGAAATTTGAGTCTTGTCTAAATTTTTTGTTGTTTTGTGGCAAGCCTTAGTTCAGAACCTTTTGTTCAATTGTTAAGATTAAACTAACTTTGGTGTACATAATGGTTTTGTGTTTTTTTTTAATAACTTTATTTTAATTTTTTTCTTTTAGTGCTTTTTAGGACTGACAGTAGATACCTTTATTGAAACGTAAAATGTCAGTAGATTCCAGAGATTTTCAGAGCATCGCTGGTCCATATTTAAAATATTTGTTTTAAATCCTAACTTACATAGGTACAATTTTTGACAGATTAACAGAAATAAATTTAGATACATAAAAAAACATGTTTTCACATTGATTTAAATTAAATTTTAGTCTCCAAAAGCACCAAAGCAACATTCTACAAAGATAAAGTAAATTATCAATTGGACATCAAAATTATTGGGAAGAAAACCTTGAAAAAACAGAGTTGAAACTGGTGTGTTGTGACGAGGTATTAATGACTTATCAAATTAAAAGAAAACACTACTTGCAAGTCAAGTGATATGAAGAATTGATACAGCATTAACACAAGAAATGAAATGAAACAAATTAAATAGCCTTCTTCTTTTTTAACAAGATATTTATATTTTCAAGAGTAAAAACACAATGCAGTATGCCTGCCTACTGTAAAACACACAGATTGTCTTTCTACAGTTCTGTAAATTGGTACAGTTTTGTCACCAACCCAATCACTTTGCACACTTTAATTGTTACTGGAGTACAGTATGTTTTTGAACCAAGGATGTCACCTGCTTTATATTACCTTACACAGAATTTATTTTGCTGGCGTTTCTTATGTCTTAATATGTTTTACTTTTTGCTTCATCTTTGCTACACTGAAATAAATTGTTCTAGATTGGTTAGGTTTAGCGTAGATGAATATTTAAATATTTTAATTAATGTACTACTACTATTTGTTTGTCATCCATTGTAATTGCCGTTTGCCGTATGCATGAAAAAAAAATAATACTAAGTAAGGCCTAGATGATTTAATGTACAGGAGAAGCTCGATAACAAGACTCCCATGGGGATTATTAAATAAGACTTGTCATCGAGGTGATTGTGATTAGGTGGTTTGAAAATGACACTAGTTTTCAAAGTTGTTTTTGAGGTTCCACTGTATTACGTCCTAGTATTATTGTTATTGGTTGCAGATCTTGTGCCTCAAGCAGTAACTTGGCGTGCCTCCCAGACCTTGTTTTCCCGTCCGTCTCAACCCCTGTGGTCCCTCTCCGGAGAAGAGGCTCTTGCGAGTCCGGGTTTTTCAGCAGTGTAGGAGAGGACTTTTGTCTTCCAGGTACTGTGTAATAAATTAAAGTTTCAATTCCTTAAAACATTTGCAGTGATTTGAAGGAATGGTAAATTCTCAATATTTCTTGCGGTGGTAGCAAAATTGAGAATTTTCAACTGCACAATCTTTGTAGACAGCTTCTTCGATCGCTTTAATATCTATAAATTTCCGTCTTGAAATATTGGCAAAATTATTAGAATTCCACCAGGAAAACAGAAGTATAAATATCCTTAATCTTTAAGTCTTAAACATCTGTTTTTTTTTAAATATTTGTAAACTTTTCAAAATTTATTTGTAAAAATGTAATAAACCTTACTTGTTGATCTTAAAATGCTCTGTTTTTATTCATCTTAACTTTGACCAGAACCGGAATCTCATCAGATTAATCTAAGTAGAGATCTTCCACCAACTACCAAATACATATCAGTTACTTCCATGATGTATCCTCCTCATAGTGTAGGCCTACGTGTAATGGCATTTTAATAAAGTTTTAATAGTAAAATCTGGCTCAAACCTCCCTTGCTGTGTTGGATATGAAACATTAGATCACCTCCGTTGAGGTACTCCATGACAAACAACAGGCGGGACTGTAAATCACAAGGATTTGTAAGATGAATACCAAATATATGTTCTTACAGTAAACATTATAATGCTGCTACATCGTAGTTATAAGGCTCACCTACTCAATATAAGCTTGTCTGGTTTAGAGCTTGCAGAGTTCTGAGAAAGGTAGCTTTTTGACGTTTCGAAACTACCCAGATGCTGTTCCTAATCATTGGCCTGACTTAAAATAATCCTGGTTTATGAAACAGCTGATCTTAGTCAGTACGTAACAAAGCTACACAGATCATCTCACACCATTCTACGCTCATCCTTCATTCATTTTGGGTTGAAATACACACCTATGTGGCGTCCTCATCTGAACGATTGGTGATTAACTACACAAACAACAATTTTGCAGGTATAGATTTAGGTACGGCATCATCAGTAACACTTTCTTCCTCCTCTTCCCTGTTCCTGGACTCTGGTGCGACAGTGTCGTGCTCGCTGGATGACATTGCGACACCATTGCGAGGAGTGACACTGAGGTGTGACGCAGCCTGTCACAAGCGATCCTCCTCCATCTACACTGACAGTTCTGAGGACATCTCCTCACTAGGTGGCAGTGACCTGCCTAGCTGGGACGAGCGGGCTAACCAGGTAAGCTTGGGAAGAAAAATTAAGCAGCAAATCTGTCACAAATTTCTTGTACAAGTCGCTATTCAGCTGTACATTTGAAACTGTTGGTGAAACTATTTAGTTGTCTGCATTTGAGACTGGAAGTAACAAAAAAAATTCAAACAATAGACAACTAAGACTGAATTATTTATAGATTGTATAGGGGTGTGCGAAGCAGCAAAAAATTTTCGATTCGAAGCAACGATTCGATTCAAAAGATTTTCGATTCGATTCGATGCAATTCGATTCGAAGCAATACGGTATTTTTCTATTCATAATTGTCAATTGAGTGGATTAACAATAAATTAAAATTTACCACATTTGTGTAAGACAAATTTTTGTTGATGTGGTATTAGGCCTATTCATACTTAACATATGAATTTTAGGTGAACAAATATTTATTTTAAATCATATATTAGAATAACCTGTATTGCTGGAAATACCAGTGAGCTGCTTTACTTGCCTATTTCATAATTTTTACTTGGAATTGGCTCAACTGCAAGATAGAAGAAAATCATTTTTTTTATCAAGACATTCATTCTCATTTTAATAACTGTTTAACTAACTAAATAGGTAGCTAAATTACAACAAATTTGAATGGAACTTAATATAAAAAAGACCATTAACAAATCAATTAACATATCACAAGTTTAGGGCCTGTGGACCGGCTTCAGGACTGCAAGCAAGAAGAAAATAAAAATAACATGTTTCCACCATGCATTATTTATCATTCATTCCCTGCCTCCTAACCTCCTTAGTATAATAACCTCACACTTACATTATTTGTTACATCATCATAAATAAAGAATTATCTATTATTGGCATCAGTAGGCCTACAGCTTTACATAGGCATTATTTTTTATAGGGCCTAAAATAGTAATAGGCTAGAAGCAACATGACAAGTGGAGAACTCATTGAAGAAAAGATATTGTGTAAACTAATTTCCTATAAAACTCAAAAACAGTAAATAACATACAAACATTGTTTATGGTATAATTAGTAAGGACTAAAAAATGCATATCGTGTCATACAGTAGTATAGACCTACTGCAAGAGATTAAAATCCTAAAACAACTGATTTTGATAGCTAATGAATGAAAAGAATTAAAAATCCATAAAATAAAGCCAAACAATATCACAATTAATTAGGTACATGAAAAGTAACTCTTAAATAATATATATAGAAGATTAAAATAATATTAAATCAAGAGATAAGAAAGTTAAATGCTAACTTCTAGTGCCCTTAGCAACACAGGTCAATGTTTTTAAACTACCCTCAATGTTTTTGGAACAGCAGGGTCTTTTTCTCTGAAGGGCGGGTATGTGGTTTGTATTCATTGGTAGTAGTATGTCAACAAAAACAATGAATCACTCTCACCAGCCAGGCCCGGGCAACGATGTGTGCATTCAAGGTCATAGACCCTCCCCCTCCCCTCTTACACCACCCGGTTGCTCCAATTGCTGACAAATGCAAGTGATGAAACAAGGAAGTAAAGACAAAAAAATATATTTCTTTATTCAAAAACACAAAACTATAACAGATCATTTTCAAAGAAATTAATTCATTGTAATTTGTGAGTTGTAAATATTGTATTGGATTTTAGAAAAATATATTTTTTAAACCCCATCTAACCAAGATACAGATCTGTTTACTATATCAGATATTTCTTTTGTTTATATTATGTAAAATACTAAAACATATTTTTAATTAGGTATGGAATAAATGATTAAACTAGTATGTCTGTATAAATAGTATTTTTTTTACTTTGTTTTCTTTGCACTGTTAGTGTTGCGTCACGGCTTTTGTCTTGTCACTCTTGTCAGTAGACGACTAGACTGGCTCTGGCTAGTGGCAGTGCGGCAATTGCTCTGTTGTGTCTTTATTCTTAAAGGTCGTGAGCCAAACTTAAACTTTAATTCTCATTTGAACATTTTAATTCCTCTGTAATAATAGATATAATAGGCCTAATATAAGAGTGTTTCTTTGGAAATAAATTAATAAATTATTATTTTTTTTCAAACAAATCATTGACCTGACCTGAAAAATTCGGGGACCCACAGACCCCTAACAAAAATACCAAATTTATCAGACTAAAACATCAATCTTGCTAGTTAAGTATTAAGTAACAATTTTTCAGACTTATTTTTAGAATGATTTTGGAGTAGCCTATCTTGTTTTGGTAAGGTTTAAACAGTAGTAAAACATGTCTCACACTGCTTACATCAAGACAAAAAACAAAACCTCTCATCATTTGTAATGTCAAAAAAAATAAAATTATAAAACAATTAAAGCTATATTTAATGCAAAGAATGTATTAAATAAGAACGCCTTCGTAAAGGAAACGCAACCACAACGCGCTCCTGTATTGCGGGTATTGCATTGACTTTCTGCAGGCGTTTTTCGTATATGGATACTGACTCCCTCATGAATCGAATCGTTTTTTGACCACCACTGAATCGAATCGCGATTCGATGCATCGAATCGAATCGAATCGAAATTTCGATGCATTTTCGATGCATCGCACACCCCTAAGATTGTAGGATATTACTCTTTGATAGTTTTCATTGCATTGATTTAAAAAATGTGTACTTGAGTAAAACTTTAAAGTCCTCAGAGAAATAAGTGTTCATATTGATTGCATATTTTTTCTTATAAAGTATTGACAAGTGGTAAATGAGTAAGTACTAAAAAAATATTCCTTAAACATAATGATTGTACTATTATAAAACAGTTAGAGAACAAAGTAGGGTTAAAATATTACATAAATTGCTAGAACTGAATTTAATAGGAGGCGTGGAAAACCTATTGAGAGCCCTCTGATCATTATTGAGGTTGGGATCATGATATTGAGGTTTTTAGAATTCATCAGGAGACTTAGGGACCAGGGCCTATGACAGTAATAGGGTATATGGTTGGGGGGGGAGACAGTAATGGGTTTCTCATTGAGACTCAACAACGCTAATAGATGTTGATACGGATATGAAATAGAAGATTCCTTATATAAGTGTTTAGAAGGTTATCCAGATGGATGCGTCATTTGGATATGCCAAGAAGTTATGAGCCAAATCTCTCTGTTAGTTTATGCACCGTGTTCCCTCTTCCTCTGCATTTTCCTCCTTCCCCCTGCTCCTTCAATGAAACTTCTGTTACTGCAAACGGCTTGGGATCATTGAAAAGTTGTGCACTCCTACAAGCAGGAGATAAGTAATAACTAAACACTTCAATTAATGTGATTTGTCCCCAGCCACCTCAACACATCAGCAAGATTGTCGAGTATTTTGAGAAGAAGCAAGGCTCCGGAGCGTCCACCAGCTCTAAGTGGGAGTCTGGTGATCTTCCGTCACCGAGCCTCACACACCACTATCAGTTGCGCGAGTACTACCACGCGCGACGGCAACACTCAGCACGACGCGGCGTTAACCACCGCCTCATGATATGCGAGGGCGCCGTGCGCTCCAAACTGCAGCTCTTCGATAAGAAATGAAAGCTTTAAATCTGTTTCACCACTAGTCGTTAATATTACATTTTTTATCCAATTAGGTTCTTCCTCATTGTAAAGTGTCACATCAGCTGATATTTTATTTTTAGTTTTGTGTGTTTTATAAACATGTCCATCATTAATAGTTGTACTTTTTTTTTTTTGATAAAATTAATCAAAATTTAGAAGATGTATTTACATAACATAATAAATGGGAACAGGCGATGAAATAAATTATCATAAAAGTCTCAAAAATCACTTTGAAAGACTCAAGGTTTACCTGTCTCTGACGCTCCTGGTAGAATAACTAACTGTGGAGAAGTATTGGCACAAGTTTTTGTATTACGTGAGGATATTAGTGCAAATGAAGATAGAGATACTTGAACAAGAAGATTACTGAACAGAGATAGAAGAGGTGCACCTTGAAATAAGATAATTAATTGTTACTGCCTTTCTCCTTTCTTTACATCAACCATTATAACAGATGGAAACAAGTCTTCTTTGCCAGATGAAAACAATAATTGTTACTTCCAAATATAAGCTAATATGACAATTTGATGGGTTTCATATGAATACAACTTTCAAATTATTGCAATTCTTATTCTTAAAGATAACAAATAAGGTAGACAAATCTGCAAATTCAAAACACTCAACAACTTACAACAAAATATCAGCTATGACAACAAGTATTCTGATGATTTTTGTTCTATTTCAAAATGCACTATAATTTCATGGGTCAGTATTTAGTTGGATCACACAATTAATTTGCTCTAGCACAACTCTTTATTTAACTATGCTCGTAAACCTTTACTAGTCACTTTGGAAGGTAATGCCATAAGCTGTGATTTCTTTTTGTTTGTCTGTGCTATAAATCTGTACAATTTTGTGTAAGGGTGACTCGTCAATTAATTATCTTTGGCGTTCCAAGTTCTCATGTAAAAATTAATTTGCCATTTTAATTGTTAACCATAGGTAAATAGGCTACTTATTTCGTTAAAAGGATTTGACCTAAGTATTCTAAAAAAATGTAAATGTCACTTTCATTCAATAACTACAAATACCATGATATTGTTTCAATCAAATTTAAAAGTCACAGTAAACTGTTTGAAGTTAAGCATAGTAATCTAAATTACAAAATGTTGCCTCCATATATTTTTATTTTCTTCCTAATGGTAAATTTTAGTTATAGGACACTGGTATTGAGCTTGGGTCCACATTGTTTTAGTTAGTATTTGTTAATTATAAATTTACCTATTTTTATATAATTTTATTGCAAGACAAATTATATTGAGCATTTTACTTTCTACTTTTGCACATTATTTATTTTGTTACTATGTTATATGTTAACTATTCTCTGTATATATTGATTTGTTGATTGTAAAGTATTATGACTTAGTATCCAAGGTTTAAGCAAGTTTTAAAACACATAGTCTCCTGTCAATTTTTTCTAGGTTTTTTAAAAGATAAAAAAGAAAAGTTATTTAAAGATTTTTTAAAGAAAAGTGTCCGTGAAATTGTTTGTTACCTGTTATTTATATAGAATGTATTTTATGCACTGAAATCCATCCCATGCATGTATCTCTTCCAATCGTATTGCTCAGGAATCGTTGTTAATATCAGCCTAAACTTACATAGAAGCAATCTTTAAGCTCAATTCACTTGGAAAGTATTTTTACTGTGGAAAGTAGAAAGAGTACCTGCCGTCCTAAACTTTTGTTTGTTTTTAAGTATTTCACTTTTGTTCAGTATGTCCCCAATCCGTCTTCCTGCAACGCAAACATATGAAATATATTTTGTAAGATATTATTTTAGTGTATATATAATAATGTGTTGTTTCCAATGCTGGCTAGTATTTTTGTGTTTGAACCAAAAACTGTATCTAACATTGAGTTTGTGGTTTTACCAAATGGTATCGATTCTAACATAATTAGTTTAATTAGTATTATACAACTTAATGTTATTATTTTACTGTTCTATTATTTGGAGCTTTAGGCAATTTTAAGTAGAGCCTCGCTAAATCAGAATGCCGAAATGGTTTTGCTCGCTGAGTGTGAAGAATTGTTTGAGAACAATTAATTATTTTTCTATCCTTATAATAATGCAATTTTTACCAAAAATTAATATTTGTTTGGTGCTGTAACTAACTAAAGACCTAATACGAAATAATAAATTGTGACATAGCTTTTAGTTTGTTTAGCAGAAGTTCATTTTTAGGTTGGCAAATTGTTTGATTTATCTTGATTACAAACATCCATACTTTAGATTGTTTTTATTGACAGACATTACACCATTGATTATTATTTTTTTATAAAAAGAATCATCGTACCCCTTGATTTATTACAAAGGATGTATTATGGTTTCCACAATTCTTGTATGTAAAAATAAACATTCTACTTACTCATATAACATGGTCCCTACTGTTTCAAATAATTTGTCAAGAAGAATTTTTAATTCATACCTTTTTATCTGGATGTTAAACTATGCATTTTCTGATTTTGTGATGGCCTACTGGGTAGCTTATATGTTAAGGGTGGTTTGATAATGTTATTTTGTTTATATAGTTCCTGATTTATTCAAAGATTATACCAAATATAAAGTAACGGTTGTAAGAGGTATTGAGCACAATTCAATATACAGACTGCCTCGTGTAAATGGTGTACAGAGTTTAATAGTATTGTAATATTTTTCTAGACTTTGTATTATATTTTAATCTAGTCAGTCAGTAAATTTTGTTGTACAGTTGGTACTATCAAAAGATGCATTGCTAATCGCATTTAATGTGGAATTGAAATGGTTTTCTCATTATTAAATGAATAATTTATAAAATTAATCTGAATTGTAGTTTTATTTGTTTACCTTAATAATAGTAAGGAATATCAAGAATGACATCTGATAAAAAAGGAGACTTCAATACCATGGCGTATGGATCTTAAACAGAGCTCCAAGAACTGAACACAATTATAGGCCTTGTTTGTATTGTTTAAGTGGGTTCCACCAGCTGGCTTTTTACCAGGTAAACGTGGGTAAAAAAAACCTCCTGGTATTATTTAAGTGTTTATCGAGTTGAAATAAACTGTACAATTTTCACAAAGATCCAAACTATGCACTGGATGAACTGAAACTTTGTAATTGTTTCTTTGAGTATTTTACAAAATCACTTTGAAAATCCATAAATTAGTATTTTTAACTTCTAAATAATAGGTAAAAATTATTTTTGCTCCACACACTGCAAGCTCTGATATGTTAAGAGCACACAATCATTTGAAGCAAATTAGTTTTCCTACAGTCACCCGACAAAGTTGGCTTCCTTTGCACTGATTATGGTACAGAAAGCTGCTAATTGCTGCTTTTACTTACTTTGTCGCATACCAGTATTCCAACCAAACAACACAAAACTGTGTGGTTTAGTTATGCACTTAATCCGTGTAGACTTGGAAATAAATTGGCAACACTTCAAGATACTGCTACTATGATCAGCTGATTGATACTAGATTTAACCTGTCATTTCGTGTTTATATTCTATTTTGGTCATCGCTTGGTTTGAACATAACCTAAGGTGTAGTATTTGAAAGAATAATTTTAAGTGGGCCTAACATGTTTGAGAATAATGAACTCAGTGATTGTGAATATATGTGTACACCAGAAGAAATATGTAGCAGAAACTGCAAAACATGTTTCATTAAATCTGTTTCCTGAATAATCAAGACAGAAGTATGAACGAGCATACAAACTGTTTTCTTCATGGTGCACGCAAGAAAGTTACAAAATTATTTACATTGATTATTACTGTTTATACGTGTACTCTTGAAAATAAGTAACACCCAAAGATACTACGACTATAATCAGCTGGAACGCTTGGGTTTAACCTAACGTTTTGTATAGCGTTTGAAACACTAATTATTTAATGCTTTATATTGACTGTAGGAAAAATATAATGTGTAACACAAGCGCAAATGGCCTTTGCTGCACTTGAGAAACATTCCCCACTCGCCGTGTGCGGCCACTTTGCTCACTAGTTACAAAAATAACTATTTAGAATGTACTGTAGAGGCATGTTCAGGAACATTAGCATGTTAAGCCGCCATCTTTAATTGACAAGGTAGAACCCTCTTTAAGTTTCAGTCTGGCTCTTTGCTTTAAAATAAAAATAGCATACAGGTTTCCCTCTAATAAATCCTCTTACTTCCAGTGCTAGATGTTCCTGAGCTAGTGTTTCTTATACTAACACCCCACCCCAGTTGCAAGGACGTTAGCCTGCAAGTTAGTTATAGAGATAGAAAAAATCTTGTGTTACAAGTACAAACGGTCTTTGCCGGTTTCGAAATGTATGGCTGCACAAAGCTAAAGTGACGTACTTTACGCTCTTAATATACAAATAGCAATTTCAAAGGACACTAGAGCCTCCACGGGAACATGCCAAGTTAAAGCGAATCAGGGCAAATCTTTTCTACCTGACGAATGACCTGGACTTGCACAGTTCAAGCTGTGTCCCTGAAGCGAAGCTGCTACAATTTGTTTGGGGTTAGGGACAATGTAAGTCTACAAAGAAAGTGAAACTCACAGAGCAAGCCAAGAATGTATGCTTGGCCCCACAAGTAGCATATTACAATGCTCTCTTCTTTCCTTAAGTTTCAGCAAACAGGTTAAAGACTGTCAGGACAGGGAGTAAAATAAAACCATTATACTTTGTCTGAATCCTATTTTAATTTGCACCAAGATAATATAACACTGTGACCGGTGTCATCACAGAATTCACATCTAAATTCTGCTCGTGTATCATAAATATTCACATTTAATATCTTAACATGTAACATATTAAAACTTACAAGTCCTTAAGAGAAAATAAATACAAAATTTTACATCTAAAACCAAGATGGATTCAATTTTTAATAAATTTGTACAATAATGACGTAAAAATCTTATGCTATAAACAACGTAAAATAACAAATTCATAGAACTCAATTTCATACACATTCACTCCAAATTGGTGAACAATTTCACTATACTAGGGGACTGATGTAAACATCTATGGCATCATTATAATGTGAAGATTAGGCGATAAAAAGTTGAACAATTTAATGTACTAATCCCAGAACAGCAATTATGACTGATAAGGTTAAAGAGCAAATGCCTTGTCAGATGTTCCAAAGGTAAAATTTTGGATGAGCAACATAAACATGATAATAACATTGGATGAATAAACACCCTGTAGGCTTAAGCCTTATTTTCTTAACCTGAGGTGTTTGAAAAATTACATTCACCCTGGTTGTTGCTTCGGAACTGATGGTGTAATTTTAAATCCATATTGGTCAATATTACATTTCCTACAAATTTACATTTAAAAATAAAAACATAAAAAATATAAATGAAATGACAAGTTTTTAACCTACAAATGTTTTTAAAATTAACTTTAAGATTATAACATTTTTCTGGTTTTAAAATTGGCTTTATTTGTGTGTACATACAAGTTAAAAAGTTTAAAGCAAATAACAGAAATATTTCTTTGACTTTTTCCAATGAATAGATAAGTATCGTATTCATATACTCAAATAACTGGCTGGGTAGCTGAGTGGTTATAGTGCTCGCCTACTAATCAAAAGGTCGCCGGTTCGATCCTGAGAAAAGTCAGTAGCTTTTTGATGGTTCGAAACTGGACCCAGCTGTTCCTGATCATTGGGCTTTAAATAAATGATCCTGGCTAATGAAACAGCTGATCTTAGTCAGTAACAAAGCTACACAGATCATCACACTTCATTCTACACTCATCCTTCACTCATATTTGGGTTAAAATACGCACCTAAGTGTCGTCCCCATCTTAATGATTGATAATGATTGATTGATTGATTGATTGATTGATATTATAGTAAAAATTATTTAATCGTAATATAAAATGGTTCATCAATAGTAAATTGAAGAAATGTAGCCAAATGCTGATTGGCTACAATTATATGTTTAACCATATTAACACCAAATTGTCAATTAAAAATAATTTCAGCAGCACAATTAATGTGTATACAATACAAATTTATAATTTAAATGATCTATTTAGTTACAAGACATACATCTTGCAGCCACGAGGTTTAAATAAACACTAATTAAATCTCTAAAACATTTTAGCTAAAGTAATTGAAAATGTTTATAATAAAAAAATAATTCACACATGAAGTTGTTTAATTCTAAAATGAAAATTTTACAGGTACAATAATAAGAACCACTGGTTGATTCATTTTTACGAATATTAACTAATTTTCCTAGTTTGGGAACACAGCAACATTTCTTTACTTGGAGATTCACATAACCAATCTGAAGTGAATATGAAACTTAATACTACAATACTAAAATCAAAATGCACATTTTCGTTTAACGTGTCACAACGACACCACATAAGTACGCTAATCTAAAATTGTCACTAAAAAGTAGAGATAACAAGAGGGAATATAGTACGAAAGGTTAACTCTATTTACAGCCTCGTAGAAAATAAAAATATCTGTACAATACTGAGGAACAAAAATCAATAAATATAAACTCTTTCACAAAGAAACAGAACCGGATATATAATATACAAAATATAATCACTTTCGTGCGATGAAATCACCAAATAAGAAAGGGTAGGACTCATAATGAACGAAACTAAAGCTACCCTATGCTAATAATATAGTACAAAATTCAATAAAAATAAACTATCTCTACATCGATTGCGAAATATACATAAAGCAAAGAAGCCTGTCGTTTAAAACTTCTACCTTAGAACTTCAGTCACAGAATGCTGCACACAGAGTGAAGGAAAGGTAATGTTCAGGTAATTAGGTTTGAGTAGAAACAGCAAAACAAAATGATCTTCCTTAAATTGAATACAAACATCACAAATCTAAGAAAGTGGTTTCTTTGTAGTAGTTAGGCTTTTAATTTGAGAGAAATAAACATGTGTTCTTGATCAATAAATAAAACTACCAACCAAAAGTGATGCTAAGTGAAAACACAAGTTTAATGAAAGAACATTTTTTATGAAGAGACCTGAAAACATAAAAAAAAAGATTTTCCCATTACAAAATTGTTCAAGTTTTTTTAGTGATTGAGAAGAAAACTCAATAATAACGATAATGTGGGTGATGATCTCCAAAACTTGACTTGAGTAACTAACACAAAGTGTAACAGTTGGAAATCAGGTGGAGTAACTAAAGTCCATAAGTTAAAGAATTAAAAAAAAATTTAGTCATTCAAGCGTTGTTATTCTCTAAATGGCTACAGCAGAAACAGGTAAGTTAAAAAAAACTTTAAATTTTCATGTTATTCTTATGGAGAATAAGTAATCTGTTGTAGTTTGCTTGATTATTGTTATAGTTAAATACAATTTAGCAACATTTTCATTTCATACCAAGCAGCTAACATCTTTACTAAAAGTACACACTTTATTACCTTAACTGTAGCAGCAAATCCAAGTACTCATTAAACTAACTGTTATTTAAATTAAGAATAAATCTGACAACTTTAAGGAAACTTTTGAGTGAAAATCCAATCAAGCAAGTGGAAATTTGCTAAGTCTGCAGGTTTGCTACAGTGTTTTTTTTTTTTTTTTTTAATATTGATTAGTGTTACAATACCATTGTTAATTCTGTTTAGCTAGTAAGAACACAATTGAAAAAACTTATCAGACCTAAAACCTAAAACTTGTATTTTTATTTTAACTTTCAAATATGTAAGTACAGTAGAATCTCGAATATCTGCCTTATACTGTCAGCAGCAAGGTCGGATACACATTATCATCAAATTGATAAAACGACTTTTTGAAAACTATTTGAGGCTTTTAAGTTTGTCTTTTACTAAAACTAT